TCATCTCGGTTTGTGCTTGAGCATAACACGTGCGTGCGCCGGTTTGGGAGAAAACGTTGCACTCAGTTGGCGGCGGCCCTTTTACAAAGTGAAGGGACCCCTGAAAACTCTTATGGAACGATTGCCATAAGGGGTGGTCCGGCAACGCAGGAAAAGAAGACGGCCTCGTTCAGGCGATGGTGACTGAGGTTATTGGGTGGCAAGAAGGCGAATGCACACGACCACATTTCACGAAGCTAGTGGAGAGAAGGATACCTGGTTCTGGAACAACCGGGGACGCAGTGAAAAACTTAGTGGTTGGCCTGTGTGTGTAGGCCTACCTTTGAGCAATACGCTGGGGAACAGGCCCCTAAACCCCTTCCCACGAACATGCTACATGTGAGAGTTACACGGATTTCCCAGAGTCTCTCCAATCCAGGCCAAAGGCTCTCGCCCTCCCGTGCCGGCACACTTTCTCAGGAGCCGGTGGTACTGAACTCGGTGGGACTTACCGCCGAGTAAACATGCAGGGCCTCACACACAAAGTCCCAGTTTCAGTGCTCTAGTTAACGGTGGCGCCAGGATCGTTGCTTTTAAGCTGGAATCCCACGCGCGCTCTCTCTCGCTCGCCCCCGCACATACACACGTGTGCGTTCCTGTGAAAAAGAGGTCACTCTCACCCTCAGAAAACACGAATCCTATTCTATGATTTCTAAGCCAATGGTCTACCACAATCAAACATCTACGCTCCAGCCATCCATCTAACTGGCGAGAGGGACTTAAATTGGTCCTCTTTCGTCTCAAGCCGCGTCAGTAACCTTTGAATCGCCTGCCAAAGCTTTCGGAGGGCTCTCTTTCTGTGTGTGTGAACGGAGAAGGAAAGCCACGTGGCTGCTTTCTGTTAGTACTAAGGGAGAAGCTGACTTCGGTGGGCTCGGTTCGGAGGCTGAGGAAGAACCCCCATTTATTTTTGGATGGGTGGGAAGGATGGATGGATGGATGGATGGAGACACCAGCAGCCGAATGTGTGTCTCTCCCCAAGCCCTTTCCCAAACTGGGGAAGTACTCGAGGATGTCACAATGAGCGAAATTACGCGTGTCAGTTTCCAGAGCGGGTGGGTTTGCCGAGATAGATAGTAGACAGCGCCACTGGGGAGGGAGACTTTCTCCTTATCACCCATCAACCGATCGCTTTCCTCCTTTCTTCCTTGCTTATCTATTTCCCATATGTACCATTAATTTTATTCTCCAGCCGCCACCCCCCGCCATTTTCTTCATGGCACTGTGCTAACCCAATCTCAGGTTCTCTGTGTTTACGGCCCCCCCCCCAGTTTCTCTGGCGCCCTCCCACTCCCCCAAATTCTCTTCCCTTCTTTCCCTGCAAATCCGCCCTTTGTGCTTACATTTCCAATTCCATTCAGTTTCAAGACCACCCCCTCTGCCTTACCCAACAGCGAGCCACTGATTTGTTTCTGATATTGACATTATTATTATTTTTAAAGTTTATGATGATCCGTGAGTGGCATTTTTTTTTGTTCCCGGCAGACACGCTCAGGCCGCCGCCGCCGCCTTCCCTCCCGCCTCCCCAAAACGATCTTTAATTTATTACCTTAATTGAATTTGTTTGCTAAAGATAGACGTGGACATCAGATCGCGTTACCTTTCACCTTAGAAAGGGAGAGTCACTTAAGAAGTGCAGATAGGAAACTCCCCACGTCAACAGAAAAGGGGGGGCGGGGAAGAGGGGACGGCGCGGGGAGAAGATATTTGCTAGGTATAAATGTGCTCATTTTACACCCCCTGATTTAAGATTTCAGCGGAGGTCTGTGAGGGAAGCAGAGAATAAAAGCTCTTTCAGCCCTGCAGAGAAACCCCACCTCTTCCGTTAGGGCGAAATATAGGGCGGTATTCAAACCCGTTAAAATAATAATAATAATAATAATAATAATGTTTCAGCCTTGTTAAATTAAGCCTATAAGCTAAAAGGATTCAATTTGCATCCGACTGGCATTGCCAGCTTGCACTGATGTTAAATATAATCCATAGCCCAAGATGGGAAATAAACAATATTAAACTGAGTACTGATTCTATTGGCCAGGACAAAGCCATTGAGAAGAACGAGTTTACCTTTCCCACAAACAAACAAAAACAAATAAGCCTGGCTGCCTCTTTTGGTTAGTCAATTTCAACCTCTGGCACTCACGGCCTTGTGGTTTGTTAGTCTTCCCTAAACCCGACCGCCGTTTTCTGGTGTAAACTCAAGCAAATCTGAATACAGTTGGAAAATCAAACTCATGCCGATTGGAAATCGTTATCATTTGACTTGTGGGGTGGGCGGTCGATGCTCTGGATTTATTATGTGGGCCTTTTCCATACGTGTGTTTGTGTGTGTGTGTGTATCTTTACATCTGGGGAGATTTGGGCAGGATTGCGCAAATGAAAGGAGATGATTGATCGGTGCTCGTGTTTTTGTGTGTGTGTGTGTGTGTGAGAGAGAGAGAGAGAGAGAGAGAGAGAAAGAAAGAAAGAAAGAAAGAGAGAGAGAGAGAAATATTGCTGACCAGAGAGCAAAGAGGAAGGCGGCATACCTACAGTGTCCAATGCGCTTTACACGCACGTGGCAAAGAAAAAGTGGATCTTTCCCCCGCGCGCGTGCGAATTCAAGGCACCTACGCGCATCTCAGCAGCCGCACTTCCCACGCCAAATCTTTTGTTCTTCTTTCTCTCATCGGCGATGGTCATGGACAATCTCTCCCCCCCCCCCCCGTTCTTTTGTGAGGCAGGAAAACATAGGCGCAGAAAGAACTTCCAGCCCTTAAACCAGGTGGAAATGAAGGGAGTTGACCGGGCGTTCTGTTGCCCGCTTCCATGCCCGAGTTGATTCAAAGGAATCCATGGAACAGATGGTGGAGGAGAAATTGATCTCTCTGTGCGAGAGAGCGCATGTCTCGCGCATCATTATATCTTTTGTGCAGATTATATGTGCGTGTGCGCGCGTGCGCGTGCACGTGCGTACATACACTAGGTATCTTACCTATATAATTAGATAGATAGATAGATAGATAGATAGATAGATAGATAGATAGACAGAAAGAAACTTGGAAAATCTTCAAAGATATTAACAGCCTCAGCTTACGGGGAAATAAACCTTGTCTTTTCCTAACATGTCAGTTCTAGCCAAAAAGTGAAGCTACCTGATTCTTACTTACAAGTAAATGCATTTAACATTGTGTTGAAAGGACACGTTTGCAGCCACCGGAAGGTTTCAGGGACTGAGAAAGACGAGTCCTTCTCCTTCCTCCTATTCTATTAGATTTAAATAGCTATAGCGGTTTGTATATGTCTCTGTGTGTCTGTGTAATTTATAGATCCGACAAGGTAAAAATAATAGGGGAACCCAAGGCTCTCTTTTATTTTTTTTACGCTCACCATCTTTTCAAACGACCGGCGAGGAGGAGAGAGGGAGGGAGGGAAAGGGGAGCTTGGCAAGGTCCTAACAACGGAATCAGGACATCTCTGTCGGTGGAGCAGGGGTTAAAAGTGGCCCTGCAGCTTCTAAGGAGCTAGAGGGAGGATTGTTGTGGTTGTTGCTGTTCTGAGTGTATAGTTTGGCCTCGGACAATGGCGAAGGACTTGACTTGGGTTTAGGGGCTGCTGCTGTCGAAAAATACCCCAAATTGCGGCCAGGGATTCCCCGTCGCCGCCTCCGGAGGCATTAAGAAGGTAAGAGGCTAAAGCTAAGTTAGAGATAAGACTGTGTGTGTGTGTGTGTGTTTGTGTGTGTAAAAGACAGGGGGGGTGTCTCTCCCATCAGTCTTCCCGCGGGGTGCTGCTGTTCCCTTCCAGGCCCTCGATCCACAATCCACTTAAGCCAAACTGGTCCCAATCCTGAAACACCTTAATGCGCGTACGGGTGGGTGATAAAACGGAACAATGGCATTTGCTCACAAGGGAATGTGTCACAAGGGTCGTGTGTACCCTCACCCCACCCCACGCTAAGTCTAATCGATTTCAGTCCAGCTTCTCCAGGGCGCGATTGGTGGACGTGAGCGTGTTTTGTCTCATTCCCCTTCGCTGTTATGTCTGGATTCAGGCGCGGGGGCGCGCGCACGCTGGAGGAGAGGGGTCCTTGCTTGCCTCTCTCCTTCTCTCCCCCTCCCCCACCCCGCAACCCCCCGCATCTGGGCGTTAATTTGGGTGGGAAGAAAGCAAGAGACGTCATAAAACAAACAAACAATCGCGCGCGCAGAATGATTTCATGCGCCCACCCCGAATATCCCTCCGCCCAGAGAATCTTGCGAGCAGGGGTAGTTGCCTCCAGGGTGCTGGGAACTGGAGCTTTGCTAGGGGCTGAACTACAGTTCCCAGTATCCTTTGGGTGAGGGAACTGTGCTTTTAAAGCAGCGGGGGTGTCTCCGGGTGGATGTTTCCGTGTCAACTCTCTGCTCCCTAAATGCGCGCATGGTGGCGAGGACCCTCTCTCTCCCTCCAGAAAGCGCACCGTGCGCCTTAGATCCAGGTCGACTTTGGTCAATGACAAAAGCTTCCGACGCCAAGCCCCTGTGACGGACCACACGCTTCCCCCTGCTCCTGGCTCTTTTATTTGTTATTCCCCAAAGCCCCCGCGAGCTTTCTTGGCTACTCCTGCCTGTCTTTGTCAATCCTTCAGGCGACAGCGGCAGGCGGGCCCAGGCCGGGTTGATTCCATGACATCACATGCAGCTCCACTCGATTCCCGAAGAAGCCTCCTCCCTTCCCCTCCCCCTCCTCCTCTTCCCACCCCAAACCCCACCTGCGATTCGCGGGGTGGCTGCGTAAAGACCCGCCCGTCCTCTTTTTCTCCCTCCCCTCCCCTCCTGCGTCTCTTTCACTCTTTCTCTGCCCTCTTTCCAACCCGGAAGCGCTCCGCTCTCTCTCTCTCGCACGGTGGTGAGGAAGAGGAGGAGGAGGGAGGAGGGAGGGAGGAGGAGGAGCAGGGAGGTCAGAGAGATTTGGGCTGGGCGCTTGGAGGATGCGGATCACCCAGATCCCTCGATCTCGGCTTGGCAGCAGCTTCGGCGATGCGCGCGGCCCCGACGGCGGCACCGGCAAGAACCGCGGGTGGACTCGGCTGCTTTTCCTGAGCGCACCTCTCCAGCAGATCGAGAGAAGATAAATCGCTCTCGGCGCTTGTTCCCAGGTCAGTGCAAAAAAGAGAGAGCCATTCCTTATCTTCCCCTCGGTTTCTCCTCTTTGCGCGGTCTCTGGTTTTCCACGTGGGTCAAGGCGGGGGATCCCGTCGAGAATCTCCTTCACAAGCCGGAACGGAACGGAACGCTCCGTAAATAGTGTTTCTCAGGATGCATTTAGACGATATATTTCCACCCTTCCAACGTCCTCTCTCTCCCCATCCCTCCTTCCCTCTTCGGTGACCTTGGAAGGGGACTTGGGAAGGTGGGTGAGCCGGACTTTCCCCCTGTGAGATCAGATGACCTCTTGCAGGTTTCTCGACAGCCCTGACTCGGCTTGTGGCTAAGCCTCCGGACTAGGGTGGTGCTGGTCCTAGTGGAGCAGGGAGGGTGCTGGGGGGAGCAAGTCCACGCAAAATATCTGAAATCGCCCCTGGTTCTAAGAGAGAGAGAATGCCAACGGGAGACGGGCCCGCGTTTCGTAGAAAGCCTGCGGAACGCTCAGGAACCCCACATTTCCTTGGGGGTGAAATGATGGCCGGCAGGTATCTGCAAAGGCAGGCGCGATAACTGGGATGCATAATCTTGCGTGACATCCATCGCGCAGCCCAAGGGGATAATTTCGTCCTTGCATCGAAATAAAATCAAATGGATCCCGTGGATTTCTATTTATTTATTAATTTCTATTTGATTATTTTTTTTAAAAAAAAATAGTGTTTATTTAATTGATGCGGGAAAGCTGCTACCCTCCCTTGGGCCTTAGGAAGCGGCGAGCAATTTAAAAACACCGATACATTAATTCAATCAAATAAGGATATACGCTTATTTAACGTCCATAATACCTTCTCTAGCCTATGTCTTCTCATTAGGCTTGGAACATCGAGATAAAGCATCACCCTTCTAATCTATATGTATCCGTGAAGATACATATAGAGATTCCATAGAGATGCTCAGGAGATTCCATTGGAGTCTAGCCTAGACCATCGGGGGGAAATGCTCCCTGTCTCTTGTCAATTTCACTTTCAAGGTCCGCCTTTGTCTGCCTCCATCTTTGCAGTCCCGCCAGTTACTTTCCATCTTTCTTTAATCCGCTGTAAAATTTGCAGGCCCCCTTGCTATCCCTTCCACAATTTATGCCTGCGGTGCCCTGCAAATAACGTCTGCGGGTTCGCTCCGATTCAGCTTCCTTCGCTTTCGTTATTCAGTAATTTGGCATCACTAGTTCTCCTTCCTAAAACAATCAGGCAGGCACTCTCAGGATACTGAGCACACCTGCATGTATCAACAATTCCGACTGCACCTTCTTCCAGTAGTAAATATGCAATTGGTTGTTTTTGTTTTTTTAATGGGATCGGAGAAATTAAGCGCTGCAACTGTATTAAAATGCTAGCTCGGGGATATAAATATGCGTAGGAATAGAAACATGGAAGCGAGCGAGGGGAACGGATCCACCAAGAAATTACGCCGGAGAAGGAAACTCTCAGTCCCAGCCGCTTTCAAAAGGCGCGTCCTCCTTTGCTTAAGTGCCGTGTGGATCCAGAAACAATCGTCCCTTGGCAGGCGCTGCCCGTATCAAAGGCACCCTTTTCTCCGGAGCCGTTTTAGCCTCTGGATTCTCTTGCGCGAGGTAATAAGGGCAATGTTGCGCTAAGAAAGGAGGGACGGAGCGAGGGACACGAGACCGAGCCACCTTGGGCGTAATGATAACCGCAATTCAATTCGTGGATCTGAAAGGGGAATCTGGAAAGGACCCCTGAAATGTGTCGAGCCGGATTTGCAGAGAGGAGTCTTGTCTGGATACGACAGATCCGAGCTGGGGCGGCGGGAGTGTGGGGCTCGCTGAATTTTTACGAAATTCATTTTGAACAGAGCTCGGATCGTTGGAGAATCTTTGTGTGTGTGTTTTGTTCCCTTCGCGAGAAAGGATAAACAAAGAAACCTGCATTTTGTTGGCGTAAAAACGCGCGTGGTGAAGACTTTTATCGTAAGCAAGCGGCAAGCGTATTCTCACACCCGCAATTGACAGATCGCTGTTTGAAAATGGGATGGGTGGGTGGGAGAGAGAGAGAGAGAGAGAGAGAGAGGAGATGCCCGTGATGGAGAAACGTTTGCCGGGTCCTGGGTGCAACGCATTTGCTAAAGAGCTCCCTTTTCAAAGCGGTAGGTGTGCGCGTGCGAGACAGAACCGGAGTGGCCCATTCTATATATATTGTTTCTAATTCGAATCCTTCTCGTTGGTTTCGCTGTGGAAATCCAGGAGACTAATCTGGAACAAGGGGCTCGCATTGTTGCAGTTCCTCCCCTTAATTCACAGGCTTCCTTAGATCTGTGTGTGAATGGAACAGTTTCTCCTAGCTCTGTCCTGTCCCCTCTCCTTTTTGAAACACCTAGCCTTTTTTATTTTTCTGCTAAGAAAGAAGTGACCCCCCCACTTCGGCGCGTCCTTGACCGCGGCGCACGCGTGTTTGTTCAACCGAGTACTCACGAGTCTCGTGACCCTAGCGGGTTTTCGGATTGACCCGGATCGTGAGTGTTGCTGACTTCGAAGGAAGTCAATTAAAAAAAAAAATCAACGGAATTTCCTCCCACGCAAAAGGCAGAGCGGGGAGTGGAGAGGGGGAGGGAGCCATAAGTATTCTGATACTTTCCTTGGAAGTACGCTGACTTCAGCAACCGGCCTTCCAGGTAGGTGTGCTTATGATGCATTTGTGGACTTTTGCGGTCGCTAGATCGGAATTCACCGGCGTACGGCGACAGTTCCAGAGAAAGAGGAGACGGTTCCACGTAGCTGCAGAAGTCCCCCATCTCTGTAGCTTGTTCTCTGGGCATGGATCCGCTTTCCAGGCATCCAGATCACATATTTTTGCCTTTTTTCTCTTTTGGGGGGTACCTTTTGGCTTAATACACAATGAGCTTCCACCTGGGCATTTGCTTGGCTTCTGAGCGCGCGTCGATCTATGTTGCTTTGGGGCAGAATCTGGCGGTTATGTCTTCCTGCGCAAACCCCACAGAAATGAAGGGGAACGATTTCCCGGAGGGTCGTGCGTTTCTTCGTTGCGATGCACTTCACTGTGTTGTGGGTGATGTAGAGGTTCATGCCAGCTGTGTGTGTGTGCGCGCGCGGGGGGGGGGCACAGAAATTTAAGCTCTCGAGGTTCTATGTAGTGCGAATTACTCTATGTTTCCAACTTAGCCGTTTTCGCTGGGTTATGTGTGGGTGTCTCATTGCTATATTCGTCGATGTTGGTTTGAATCGAGTCAGTTTCTCCTCTGGGCAGCGAGAAGCGGCGCGTCTCCATCGCCCGCGCGCGTGTCACTTTCTCCGGGATTTCTCCAACACTTCGGTGACCCGGTGAGTGTGCGAAAGCACACCTTGCTTAGGCACGCACTTTCGAGAAAAAGATGTGTCTGTGAGCCCGCGTGCTAACCGTTCCGCCACACTTCACGACCCAGTTAAACAGGAGCGAGCGCTCAATGGGGCTTCTAGTCCAGCCGCTGGAATATGTATCCAACGAGTTCTGGAGCAGCAGGGTTACCTGACATTACCCTAGAGAGGCTGTGGATCTGGCGCACAGAGATTTCAATGCAAAGATGACTGTGGCCGCCAATCTACCCCCCCCCCCGACCCGTCCTGGGTCACTGGGCCAATTTTTCGCTCTTGAAGGAAAGCCACCACCGTCTGGTTTTTCTTTCCTTTTCACGTCGGCTTTCCAAAGCCGTTGATCCAAATAGCAATCCGAATGATCAGCTCCCTTTTGCTTCTAGAATTGATGGGGGTAGAAGTGAGCGGGTTCCCCCCCCCAAAAAATATTGGCTTCAGATGCCAGAAAAAAATGTGTGTGTGCGTGAATTTGCAGTGGCGCAGTGCCGTGGCTGACTACGGCTGACTTCAAACAAGGGGGCTATTCCAGGACAGTGATCACGGCGGTACCCATCACGCCCCCCACCCCATGCAAGAGGGAAGGTCTTTCCTTTGCTCCTCCTCTCATCGCTCTGTTCAGTTTTCTAAGGAAGCCCCCGAATGAAAAGATAGCGAGAGAGGGAGACCCAGAGGAAAGCAATAGGTCGGCAGTGACCTTTCCAAACAGTACAGTGGACCATCATCCTATAGATGCGAAATTCCTTAAGGTTTTCAAGGAATCATTCTTTAAATTACAGGGCAATCCGCAATTTGGGATTAGTCGATAACAATCAAGTTCAGTACAAACTGGGCTGTTTGGGCAGCAAACAGCAAGTCTATGAAATCACGTTTTGTTTTTAAGTGCTTTGTTAGTTGTAGGTATACTACTGACAAAGGTTTGTTCCCGGCTAATGAACCCAACCAAGAGACTTCATTTAGAGTTTTAAATGGATGCGTGTGCAGACACCTACACCCCTCTGTGTGCATAGGTAGACACACCGAGATATTTCTGAGTTACATTTAGCATGTGTATACTGTGGTGCTTTGGTATTCAAAGTGTTCATCTACATAAAGAATGAGCAACTTCTGGCCCTGCGGATGTTGTTGGAACGTTTCTAACCAGGCCCAGCTGCCATGGAGTAATGATCAGGGATGATGGTAGTTGTGGTCCAACAAACATCTGGAGGGCCAAAGGTTCTGCAGCCCTGAGCTACATCCCCAGAGCAATCTGCACAACAGTCCTCTAGGTGGGCTGGTGCTATCCTGTCCACACTGAGGATAAAAGTGAAGACTGACTTGGTTTACAGGTTTGTTTATTACCTGGGAGATTCATAGCAGGAGCAATATTAGAATCTATTATTTATTGGCTCAGTCTGTCTATCTTCTCTCTTTCTCATCTGTCTGTCTGTCTGTCTCTATCTAAATAGCTTAAACAAGCACACCCACCAGATATTTAGAATAAATTTATTTCAGCCGGCTAACATGGAGACCAGGGATAAGACTAACTTCTCAAGAAGGCCTTGAGCTTCAGCTGAAACCAAGAACCTTGCATCTCATATTGGAGAGAGCTCAGCCTTTCTTCCACATCCATTTCTAGAGAAGAGGCCGATTCAGAAATCAGGAATTCCTTCCTGTCTGTCATCTTTCTGCAGGCCTGGGAAGACCATGTGTCCACTCCACACAAGGTTCATGGGTTCTTATTTACCCTGCACCACCATCAACCCCCACCTCTCCTCTGTTTTTGACATGACAGGCCTGAACAGCAGAGAAACATCAACAAAAAACTTTGAGGGCTTGGTCCTCCCCCTTCCCCCCTCTTAGGGCCTGGAAAGGTGCCTAAAAGATTAAGCCAAGATTAATTTCTTTGTTCAGTTACAGAAACTTCTTAGAAACCACAGGCCCTTCATGTACTATTCTAGAGGCCAGAGAATGTCTAGGTGTGTGTGGGGGATGGGGGAATTATTAAAAGGTATCATTTTGATTGACACCATGACACCATTATCTAAGAGCCGACGCATTCATAAACAAATCAATTTCAGGGTTGGATTCCGAGCAGGGTCAAAGGGCTGCTCTTAGAGGTACTCAAACCTTGCATTCAAGCAGCCACCGTGTATCCCCCCCCCATGCATTCCTCTTAGCTCCTTTCAAGCTCATAACAACCAGAAATACAAGTGCTCCGGATTCACACGTGGCAGCGAGCCCGCGGACACGACTCCCCATCCCACACTCGCGCAGAGCAGGTCTGAAGGAAAGGCGTCAGAATAAAAAAAAGAATTCGGGGGTCTTGAGGAGAGTAAAGGTTGAGAGATCTATTGCCTTAAAATCGACGCGGGGAAAGACAGGATCTTTATCTCGCGCGGGTTATATTTCCCAGAACTGCACGTTTCTGAAGACATCTCCGGATTCTTAGACATGTCTGCTCAGAAGCTTGAGCGAATGGGCCCAGGATTGTAGGTTTCAATAGAGAGAGCCTTTCTGACGAATTTCTTTTTGAACACCTACTGCTAAGTGGGGGGAGCGCGCGAGAGAGGCCGGCAGAGAGAAGCACTATGTGTCGGTGTGTGAGAGAGAGATTTCACCACCTCCTCTCTACGCGCGGTTTGTTCAAGTGCGCGTGCACACCACCGTGTGGACACAAACAAACAAGCAATCAAGCAAGCGCGCAGGGGTATTTGTTCTTTTGGGAAGGGGCTCTTATGGAGGGAGGGCAACAAGGTGCCCAAAGTGTGTATCTGTTGACTTGCAAGCTGGTCTGCGTGTTTGCAGGGGGTGGGGAAGGGAAAGGGGAGAGTTGATGTGGTGATGGTTGTCGCTCGCTTAAACCCTCCACCCTCGACGCCGCGCACACTCCATCCACCAGGAAATCTTGTGGGATCTTCCTGGCTCCCAGCGGAGAAAGTGAAACTTAACTAGATCCAAAGCTGAAACTGACTGGATCCTAGGCAGCCTTGCAGTTTGCGCAGGGATGCGCGGGGGCGAAGGGAGATCCCCGTGCAGATTCTAGAAAATTAAAAACCCTTAAAAAAAACAAAAAACCCTAAGCGTGGCTTGCGACGAGGTTGTTTTTTTACTTTTCGACTCCCCCTATTTCCGCACCGTCTTCTTTCCCTCTCTTGGGAATGTAGAAGGGGGAAGGGTCGCTTCCTGGACTGGTGTAGCCGGTTTGATTCTCCCATATCTCACTTTTGCTTACTTTTTAAACTGTCCTGAAGGCAGCGGATCTTTTAAGTTCAGAAAAGGATTTTTTTGGGGGGGGATGGTGGGTAGGAAAGAAAAGAAAAGAAAAGAAAAGAAAAGAAAAGAAAAGAGAGAATGTATATATTTTCCTTTAGGCCACCTTCCTACTCACCAACCATCTGCCCCCCTTCTCAAATGGGCCTCTCCCCAAATTTTATTCTAGAAGTCAGATTTCTAGAGGTCTGAAAGAGGGTCTACCCGGACCCCGCCTCCCCCACGTCTCTCCCGATCTCTCGGGATCTTCAGAGGGAAGCTGGCCACCACGTCGGTGGCGGTGGAGGAAGATCATCCGAATCGACACGATCGGATGCTGAGGCGTTATTTCGCTTCCTCTTCTTCTCCCTGCAATACGCACGAATTTCCAGTTTTTGACCCGTCAGGCTTGGTACTTTCCAGGCTTCCACAGTTGGCACAGAATGGAGAATCGATGAAGAAAGAAAGAAAGAAAAAAAGAAAGAGGGAAAACGTTATAGGAAAAAGCGCCAGAAAACCAATGAGAACGAAGGGCAAGCCAAGTTGAAAGCGATGAAGGGGTTATCCTCTCTCCGCGCTCAGACGGGGGGGCGGGGGCAGCCTTGCAGCCTGAATTAAGCATCTGCAAAGTCCCGTTGAGTTCAGTGGAAGCGCCGTAGCACGTGCTCGAACCGCGCTCCTTTGCCATCCCTGAGATACACTGATGCTCTTTTGAAACTTTGCAAAGCTGCTATTTCCTTGATCGCCGGCTCCACCGAGCAGGGCTGGTCTAGGGGTGTCAGCGCCTTCACAGGGCAGACAGGCAGGCAGCAATCCCAGCCAAGCTTACCTGAGAGTAGCCTCCCCTCCCCACTGAATTCAATAGGACTTGCTTCTTTTGCGTTAGGCAGGCACTGTCAGGCTCGCTTGGTGTGACTCCTGCGTTAGGATCGCGCGGCTGAGACGAAGCCCAGGCTTGCAGAGCTCACCAGGGTGCGCGGAAGGGCGACCCCCCTCCCCTTTCGGGTGTTTGGTTTTGATCGACGTTTCGGGCGCTGAACAACCGCTCCCTTTTGTCCCCCCCCCCCCGCCCCCCGGACAGGGATTCAGGGCTCGCTTGTTTGGGTTGCTTTTGCAGAGATTGTTGTGTCTCACGTCTGTCTTCGCCAGGGAAGCGTGCTCCGTCCAGCTGCTTTTGGCAAGGAAGAAGCGACGCGCCCTTTTCTCCCGGCCCCCACGCGCAACAAAAGTTGTCCCCGAACCCTCCCACTCCCGGGGAAGCCGAGTTGCTTTGCGATGGGGTGGGGGGTGGGGCCTGGGAGAAGAGAAGCCTTCAGATCTCAGCCCTGGGCCGTGTCCCTTCCATAACCCTCCGATGCCTCGCTCGGGGCTGTTTACACAGCTTTACCTGCGCTGCGCTGCTTTCCCTGTCAAATCCCAGCCCAGTAAACGTAACATAATCCTATTCCAGTCAATTGCATGCGGGCTAAAAGCAGTTCGGCGACGGGATGAAGTGTGTGTGTGTGTGTGTGTGTGTGTGTGTGTGTGTGTGTAGCATGTGTGTATGTGTGCTCTCCGAGGCCTCCTCCTTTCTCCCCCAGCAAGGAGACAGGGAAATTCAGACCAGGTGCCAGTAATCTAGAAGGTCACAGAGGAACTCGGAGAGGCCAGGCGGTTTTGCTCTCTGTCAGCTAGTCCCGAGTTCTTTGGGACCCCTTTGCCTATACCTACCCATGCTTGAAGGAAGGACACGTGCTGGGCATGCAGAAGGCCGCAGGTTCAATCCCCGCCCTCTCCACCTACAGGATCCCAAGGGCCAGGGAGGCGACTGCAATATAACATCCCCCTCCCTTTTGAAACCTGTTGTCCGTCAGAATAGATGCTTTACTGTTCCACCTTGGCTCGTGATAAACAGAACCACATTCTTTTGTTAGCTACCTGATCACACTAGATCCGGCCCTTCTTCCCGGGGGGCACGTTTCTTTTTTAACATGCTCAGTGCTAGTTACAGGTCGGTAGCCGTGTTGGTCTGCCGTAGTCGAAACTAAACTAAACTAAACTAAACTAAACTAAACTAAACTAAACTAAACTAAACTAAGAAACAAATAAAATTCCTTCCAGTAGCACCTTAGAGACCAACTAAGTTAGTTATTGGTATGAGCTTTCGTGTGCATGCACACTTCTTCAGATACATGCTCAGTGCTACAGTCCTATACACACTTAACTCGGGAGCAAGTCCCATTGGGCCTGTTGGGACTTTACTTGCGAGGAGACGCGGATAGGATCGCAGTGCGCGCCGCTCGCTTTCTTACTGAGCCATCTTCTTAGCTAATCAGAAGTCAAGCTTATTGAAATCAGTGGGGCTCACCCCTCCCTGGTAAGTGGGGTAGGATTGCAGCGCTACTCACACTGGCTGGTATAAGGATAGACCCCCCCCATTTAATTCACGAATAAATCACACACACCCCTTAGAGAGTGCCTGCCCCTTAGGAGGTCCACGCACATTGTTTTATCCTGGATTAGTGAATAAGGAATAACCGCTGGTTCCGTATTGATGCATCACTAGTGAGCATGAAGACATTGGATCTGTGTATGAAAGGGAAGGGGCAGAAACTCCGACTTTCCTTAAATTCCTGTATTGCAGGGGGTTGGACTAGATGACCCTTGGGGTCCCAACTCTTACGATCCTATGACTTTTGGCATGGTGGTGAAATGTAAAAGAGAGTTAAGAAAATGTCCCAGGCTAACTGACCTGCATTAAATTAGCCACCCCTGCAGTAGTATTGATTCTGGATCAAGTAATTCGGAGTACACTGGAATGTGTAAACCACCCCCCTCCCTCAGACCTGGAATATCCTCCTCCCACTGAAGTCCGTGTACAACCTATTTATTTGAATGAATCAGCATTACACACCCGGCTCCTGCAGTTGCTGCACCGAGATTCTTAAAAAATAAAATACTGCACACCTTTACCGAAGTTTTCGTGACAAAACTCCCATAAATTTTAATTGTTGAAAACTGCAGAAACGTAGTATGCAGAGCAAGACGGAAATAATTATATATATATATTTAAACTGACAAGCACGCAACTACCACCCACACAGAACCAAGCAGAGGAAGGCCTTTTATGTTGCTAAACAGTATCTTTAAAATGCCCGGGTATAGTGAAATAAGGGTCTTTTTTCCATTTTTTAAAAGAGGTCTTCGGTATAGCAAGAACTGGTCGTTTTGCAATCTCAAAAAGTTGATGCAGCTGTTCAGCGAGAAATGTTCATCGATTTTGTTTGATTTTTGTGTAGGTTTTTTTAAATAAAGATTTTAGGGGAAAGATCTCAGGACTATCGAGCGAAATAGGTTCCCCTGTGTGTGTTTGTGTGTGTGTTGGTAGGGAACAGGGAGCAGTATCTCTGTGTCATGTTGTGGTCATCTGTGTAGTTATTGGCTGGGAAAACCGGCTCTCCTCATGGTCTCCAGTGCGGATCTTTTCGGTTTGAAAGCTTTGGCGTGAGAGAACTTTAGGACCTGATCCGCGCAGGACGGAGCAGGAGAGTTCAGTGGAGGTCAGATGTCTGGTAAACGAACGGTACTGTGGCTTGTGGACCTCGTTTTGCTGCAACGACCCGGATGGTTGCTTGTGTTTGAAATTAGAATCAAACTGCATTGAACTCAATGGGACTTGCTTCCAGAAACTGTTTTCTTCAGGATCAGACTATGCGCAAATAAACAGGCACTTCCGTTCGCCTGATTTTGTTGCACTAAAATTTGTTTGCAGTCTCCGAAGCAGATGTGCTTTCTGGGAAGTGAGTTTAATTTGGTTCAGGAGAAAGTTCTTAGGATTAGAGGTTTAGGGAGCGATCCTACGCATCTCTACTCAGAAGAAAGTCCCATTGAGTTAAATTAAGCTTGCTTCCAAGTAATAAGATCGCACCTCCAGAATTTCAGTTTTGATGAACCTACCTTGGCACTATCTGGTGGGTATCTTACCTACTTGACACGGAATATTTCAGACCAAAACAAACTCTTCCCGCGGAATTAAGGGGGTGCGCTAAAATGTTTTTAATTTATTTATTCACGTTCGAATGGCCCCTCCATTCCTGAACTCTGACCGTGGTCATTACTCCGAAGTAATGAGAATGAGGGCTTAAGGTGAGTGAGTTATGGAAGCAAAAGAGATGTCAGAAGCTACCAGCCAAAGCTCACTTTATCTTCACAACAACCATGTGAGGCAGAAGAGCAACTGGCCCAATTTACCGCAGAGCCTAGGGCGAATCTCAACTCTGCTCGCCTCCTCCAACCACTACACCGCACTGCCCTCTCCACTGAGCAGAATTGCGCTTCGCTTGGGAATGAACAGGACTCTCCATCTGAGAGTCAGTAGGTGAACATGCACCACACGCTTACAGCATTCCCCACCCAAAGAACCCTGGGAACCGTATTTACCCACCACGGAACTACAATTCCCAGCACCCTGAACAAACTACAGTTCCCAGGATGGATTCTTTGGATGGGGGGAAGCCATGTGCTTTAAGTGTTTAGTGCGTCTGTAGACCGAGAGAAGCCGGGAGAGCGTGCGCGACCCTTTTTCACAAACAGTGCCCCATTTATCCTCGCTTTCCCTTCGGGCTCAGCTTCGCCTGGCTTCCCCCGGCTGCTGCTTCTCTGCCAGCTGGAAATTCGGCCTCTCGCTTCTCCTCCCTGCTCCGCCAGCAGGGGCTTTAATTGACAGTTTTGCCCTAATAGGAGCTCATTGTTGGGAGCAATTAGCAAAGCAACCAGTTTGGAGAAGGAGAGGGGGAGACGAGGAGGAGGAGACGGGGATGGGGGAAGAGGGGCGTTTAATTCGATTTGAAGGTGAGGGGCGTGTGCCTGAGATCCCGGCCCGCGCTTGGTCGATCTTTTCCAGCTGAGAACGCGGGGGAAAGCCAAGGCGAGGGGGCTGCTTCGGGGGAAAAAAAGAGGAGTAGAGCGCAGAGAGAGAGAGGGCCCGTAGCCAAATGTTAATGAAGGATATAGGAACAGCTTTGGCTGGCGACGCAAAGGGAAAGGAGAGTGGGAGATTAATTCGCTCCAGAGCGCGCCGTTTAGAATCCGAATTTAGTGAAAGTGCCCAGGATGGACCACTCCGGATCTGCTTTAAGCCGATCTTGGGGGCCCCATCAGAGATCCCAACTTGAATAAAATATTGTGGGGGCCCAGGTAAGCCCTGGCCCGCACAACCGATCACATGACACAACGCACACGCACTATTTGAATCGCAATGCCGATCAACTTGGGGGGAGGGCGGTCCTCTCAAATATTTTATTGTGGGGGCCGAAGCCCCCACGGCCCCTAGGAGTTGGCTCCTATGGGCCCCATCCCTTCCCATCTTTCTTTGCGCGTTTGCTCGCAAGTAAGTCCCATTGAGTTGGATAGGACAGGCTCCCACGCCACTCCGCAAAGCGTGTATCCAGATTTGTAGCCTTTCTTGGCGAGGGGGGGGGGACGACCAAACTAAATCCCAACTCATTGGACACTCCTAGGCTTGCTTCGAAGTGCACCCCACGGGCAAGGGAATCTCCCCGAAAGCCGAGAGGAGACTGAGATCGTCGCGTTTGCTTTTTAAATCGACCGGTGCAATTTCGGTGGCTCAGGCTACCTAACTCCGTTTGTGTAGGGACGGGCAGGGGAGAGGTTTTGGAGAAGTTGCGGGTGCGTCTTTGTGCAGGAAAAATGCCCCTCGAGAAAAAGGGAATTCCCCTCGGAACTCCGGAAGATTTGGCAAGCTTCGCCTTTCTCTAATGGAAAAAAGGTGCGTCTGTGAGTGATGAATAATCACTCGGAGGCGGCAGTTCTACACGCGCTCCTTTGACAGAAAACCCCACTCCCACCGACCTCGGTGGAACTTACTCCTGAATAAAAATGCGGATGTCTTTCTGCAAACCGATTTTTGCTCGCATTTGGAGAAGAGCGCGCGACTGCGTCTTCTCCGCGCTTAGGAAAGCGGGATAGGATTCCCAAACAAAACTAAACCTCCATGTGCGCTTATTCCGTAGTAGACTAAGTCAGAAACTTGGTCGGATTGAATCTAGTTTATATATGTTGAGAAGTTTCCCCTGAATAACATTTATGTGGGGAAATTTGGGGCGCCACTTCGCGTTAATTTGGCCTTCTCTTCGCTGTATATACCTAGAAAGGTTCGCCTGGGAGTCAGTCTTACTGAATTTAGAGTCTCTCTCTCTTATCTGCAGCGCGCGGGAATTTTCAAACCGTCTTACTCTAGAGGAGTCCCATGGACGTCCGCCCGACTCAAGCCAGATAGAATAAATGCAATTATGTTAATGGCCTGGGAAACGCATTCGGTTTGCCTGGTCAACAGATCTATTCTGCTCCTACCTTTAGCCACCTGGAGGAAAATAAGCCACACTTTTTGCAGCGCACTGCCTTACTCAGAAGTAAACCGTACTGAACTCAACGGGATTTACTTCTACGCAAAGAGTATCTCCTCAATCTGCATCCCTTCGAATGGTGCTCAATGCCCTTGCGCCTGGGCGCCAAAATAAACATCAAATAAATGTATATATGACTGGTGTCGTGCAGGGCTACTGCTTTTAGAGGTCGGAAATGAATACGATGGTCTTGCCAACTTCCCTTCCATTCTCTTGGGTCTCCCAGTGGTCCCCTTCTGAGCACGTGCAGAGTGCCTTATTTATTTATTTCATTTCTCCAAGGAGCTCAAGGTGGCGCAGATACTTCCGCCCGCTGTTATCCCCCCATCAACACTGTGGGGTAGGTTAGGCGGAGAGTGAGCGACTGGTCCAAGGCCGCCCAGGGATCTTCGTGGCCGAGTGGGGGATTTGAACCCAGGACTCCCGGGTCCTAGTCCAGCACCCTAATCATTGCACCACCCTGGCTGCCCAGACTGTCACCATTCCGCATGGCACCCCTTACACCGCGGAAGCATAATTGGATTCCTGAACCCCCCTCGCTTGAACTCAGTGGGCCTTCTGTGTGTGTAAACACACAAACACTGGGTGGGGGGGGGGGGAGGATTTCCAGGCGGACCTCAGCTACTCTCCAACCTACCCACTTTTCTTCCTAATTACATCATTTAAAGGACTTATTCCCAAGCCCATGCCCTTGTAGGATCCAGGATGATCCAAACAGCATTCTGACCCGGTGTGGCGAGGGTAGTGTAACGTCTGTACGAGGAATCCCTCTTACACGTGTATCCAGTGCTGGGAACCATAGCGGGACTGCATTGAATGGCTCCTTCTATTTCCGCCCTCCCCACCCCTCCCCACCCCGGTCACGCTCCTTTGGCCCCTCCCGGATGGGCACAATGGCCGTGACGTCAGCCCCCAGTGGCGTCGGCCAGGCTGGCCCAGGAAAGGGGCCTTCGGCAGAGCAGCCTCCCAATTACAACCGGTCAATCCAGTTACCAAGAGGGGAGGGAGAAGAGGAGAGATCTGCTCGCAATAAACCCCCCACCTTTACAGCAGCAGGCACGGTCGCTCCAGGTTTCCTCCGTTGCTGCGGTGGCTAAGAGGTTCTGGGTTCGAATCTACACACCCACTGAAGAGCTACTTCCCTTCCGGATAGAGGGCCGAGGGGAAGAGTAGCAATAATAATAATAATAATGATGATGATGATGATGATGATGTTGATGTTGTCCCACCTAACAGGGCTGTTAGTTCATTGCTTTTTCCTGCTACGCCTTTTCTGCAGCGCGCGCAGAATGCGCCGCCTCTGATCCTCAAAACAATCTTGCAAGGTAGGCTAGGCTACGCACTATGCATTTAAAACACATAATCTCCCCCCACCAGGAACCCCAGGGGAACTGTAGTTTGCCCTCTCACAGAGCTATAATCCACAGCACCCTTAGCAAACTAGAGTTTCCAGGATTCTTGGAGGGAAGACATATGCTTTAAATGATGCTGAGTACGCGGCCTTGGTCCCAGGCATCCTAAATCTTATTTGGGAGGGAGAAGGCGGCGAATAACAGCACCCCAAAAAAGCCCTCCCCTCCCCAGAAGCTGATATTATGCAGAGCTTGGGACCTTCTTCAAACAAAACTATTCTTTACCTGTTTTATCTAATACAAAACCTAGCCTTCTGAAAAAGGACACGGGGATGAGCCATTTACATTTTGCCTGGAATACTTTTAAAAGTGACCAAAGCTGAACATTTTTAATCGTCTTACCTTTTTAAAAACGATTACAATTAATATTTTAAGTGTCCCAAGAGAGTGTGCGTTGAAAGATCATTTCGTGCGCCCCTCCAAATACCACGTGGGGATGAACAAAAAGCAGGAAAGCAAGCCCTTCGATTAATCAACTTTATATACTTTTCATTTAATCATTTAGTTGGGACAAGATTCCTCTGCGCCTGCAGCTAGGGACTTTTTACTCTTTCTTTCTCTCATTACTCCTGTTTTTAAAAATAATAATAAAAACGCAATCCTAACCATGTCTACGCAGATATGTCCTATTGAATTCAACTGAATTTACTCCCCAGGGGTTAGAATCGCAGCCTAAATCGCGGGAGAGCACTGGGTCAAAATTATTTTTTTTTGAAGGAAAGGTGTCTCCCTTCCTCCAGAAAAAAAATAACCCCATCCGCCAACCTTTCTGCGTCAGTTATAGTTAGAGATTCACATGAAATGGTCTGGACAGATTTTCCCCCCACAGTGCAGTTCCGATTCATGCAGGAATCTCGCAACTGTGAATGAGGCAAAAATGTTAAGGCTCTTTTAACTGCCACAAAGAGTTAGCAAAGGAGACACATATATAGAATTGGGCCCTTACTTTCGGAATGGGTAAACAACAACAATAATTCAAGTCGTCTTTAGGCAGGCGGCAAACATGTTTAATGACACTAATCGCAGATTCCTGCTTGCTCTAAAGTTTTTTAAAATTATATTTTAAAGTGGGCATTATTTGTACGTTTCCGGGCTGCGATCTACAAACCATGGGGGGAAATTCTTCTAAGCTTTACTCTGAGTAGACCCATTGAAATTAATCAACACGCCTAAATTCGGTCCATTAATCTCAAACTCTGAGTAAAAGTTAGTTGAATGCCACCCATTGCGATTCTTACTCCGAAGTAAGCCCCACTGTATTCAAGGGGACTCGCTGCTATCAAGGGTGCATAGGATCGTAGCCTCAATCCGGAGTCAATGACTGAGCGTCGGGAAGATTTGGGTCTGCCCTGTCGGCGCCTGAGGATTACTGGTAGCTGCGCTCAAAGAAGGGATCCCCCCCCTTTTTGGTTAGGAAAGTGTTAAATTACGCTCCAAGCAACTCCTAGACATCTCTGATCATCAAAACAGACTGGAGATGCAAATCTGTCAGTGAAGGCAAAAAGAAAAAAAAAGGGAAATTAAATCCTTGAACCCGATCCACAAACCAATTAAGCTGAAACATTAGGACTATCTCCCCGCACACTTAACTTAAAACTGATGTATGTAGTAATAACTTTGGTGGAACTTCCATAGACTTCCAGCGGCGTGGAGGCTACCATCCTCTGCGCATTTACGCACAAGCAAAACACATTAAGTTCAAGTGGGGCTTCCCTCTGTGAGTAAGCACGCTTACTCTCGGCCTACATTAACACTCGTGAAACCAAATGCTTTCGCTTAACTGGGCAGTGGATCCTGCGAAGGGATAGCAGTACAGCATTAGGAGATCTCTCTCAGTGTGTATCTTATCCACACACACATATTTTTTTACATTAAAAACAACGTCCAGTACAGGGACAATGACCACAATTAACAGAGCTCTCTCTCTCTATATATATTTAAAAATGCAACTATTAGCATTTCAGGAACAAAGCCTATACTCGGGTCCCTTGCGCATATTTTAAACACTTGTCTAATTCTTCCCAGCAACAGTTTGACTTCCCCCAATTCAACCCAATTTATTGTATTGCAAGGTATGCGCGAGTGGGAGAAAGGGCGACAAGAGAAGACGGGTGGAGCCGAGGTGGGGGAGCAGCGGAAAGGAAGACGATGCAACTTGTTGCGCTTTCAAAGAGAACAAAAACCCCACCACCACCCTTCAAAATAAATGCTCAGGGCGAAAATAGCTCCTCCGGGTTCTTGAGTTTGAATGAACCACTAGGGGATGCAATGGCTCAATGGAGAGAACGTTGAGAGAGTAGTTAAAAGTTCGAACGCCAGGCGAGCAGCCAATCGCTGACGGCTTTGGCCGGCAGACGGCTCTTGCTGCTTCCTGATTGGCTCTGAGAGTACCCCTTCCTTTCTCCTCCAGCCCCTTTCATTTTCGCAAGCCAAGTGGCCCGTGGAGCAGCTCAGGGGCCGAAGCCTCTCCTACGGCTCAGCCTTCGCCTCTTCGGACCGATGCCGGATTATTATGGGGCAGTTAATGGCTTTGAGAACTGAAGTCCACAAGTCAAATCCACTCCTAACTCCCCCACTTTCAGACTTTCTCCCAGTGGCTCCCTTTCACCTGCAAGCAAGAACCCTAAACTCAGCTCCCTCCGGGGATTACATTGATATTTCCTCAGTTCTGTGCTCCTGAAAGAGGCTCGCCCCTTGCCGTTTCATTCTCGGCAGACCGCGAACGGGGAAAAAAAACACGTGTACTCCTTACTTGCTAAAGTCGAACTCGCCATTCTTTTAAATATTACCCCTCTCCGTTTGCCAAAGCACACCAGAGCTAGCTTGAGCTGATCAACTCTCACACGCACCCGCTTTGTTTTGCGTGTGAACAGCCCACGAAGTACTAAATTCGCCCGTTTTCACTCACTTTCATCTGCTCAGAAATAGAGGCTAACTCGTATCCCAATATAAACAGCCACCCAGTTCAGTGTCCTTACATTATATGGTGCCCAGTCCTTCCTCTGAAAGGATGATCCAATAAAATAAAAATCATTAATAATAATAGAGGGCTGATTCCTCCCCCCCCACCCCCAAATCATCAACTTACAGGAACTCAAACTTGAGATGGTTAAATCTTTCTCCCTCGCCCTCAAAATGAGTTTATTTCTTTCCGGCTCCGGTACGCGTGGGTGGAGGGGAGGTGTGTTTTCTTTTTGGGGGGGAGGAGGAAGAGGAGGGGAAGGGATCAGCCCTAGTTCGCTTTCTTCCTTTCCCCCCTCCCTGCCCGTCCCCCTGTCCCTCCTCGTTCAGGGACAGACTCCACCCCCTCCCTGCTGATGACACTGGAACCTCCTTAAGTTCTGTCTCGCCGCAGCTGTCTGTGGATACTGAGCCGGCTGGCGCCATCCTGGTTCTTTCAGAAATAATGCCTTCTCTTTAAAAAGAAAAAAAGAAAAAAGAAAAGCAAAAGAGAGAGAGAGAGAGAGAGGGAAGGAAGGAAGGAAGGGGGGGAGGGCAGGCGGGCAGGCGAGAGGTGGAGTGAAATGAGGAGGACGATTTGAGCCGATCAAGTTTTCCCTGGCTTTTTTCGCACAACTTTCCCGAGGGTGCTTCTGTATTAATTTTTTCTTCCTTTCTTGTCTTCCTTCCTTCCTTCCTTTTCGGGCTCCTCGCACCCCGTAGTTTCTCCTCCCTTTCTCGTTTCTTCAGCATGCTCTTAGAAATAGCATTTTAAAACGTCCGCCAAGTTTTTTCTTTTTTTGGGGGGGGGCAACGCTTGCTGGTTTTTGAAAGGGGGGAGGAGGAGGAAGAGGAGGAGAGATGCTCCCCGCCGCAAAAAGCAGCCCCCACCGACCAACGCACTCCAAAACAACCTAAAAAAAAGAGGGGGAAAGGAAGGCGAGAAGAGGGGGAAAGTAATCTCTTCAACAAACCAGAAAATCAATACAAGAATAAAACAAAAGCGAACTTCTCACCGCCGCTTCTGCAGGTGAAATTGGCCAAACAGGAGACTTTGCGGGAATCGGTGTATTTCTTTCTTTCTTTTTAAACCTGAGAGAGAGGCGAGAGGGTAGGACAGCGCGGCAGCGCAGGCTGAGCGCTCAGGGATCCCTGCGGCCAATTTCCCCGCGAGGCTGCGGAGATCGAAAGAGAAAGAAGCGAGATGGTGCCTTCGCTGGGCGGATAGGTGAGTCGCGAAGACTTGTTTGAAAAGGCAGGGGGGGGGGGGGAGATAAGAGAGGCACAGGAGGTGGACTTTTGCAGAGATCTCTTTGGCGCTTGGGGAGGGGGGCGCATTTTCTGTGCGTGTAAATGAAAAAAAATTAATCCAGTGTTTTAAAAGTTTTTTAAACCCAAGTTTTTTCTCTCTCCCCTCTCCTCCTTTCTCTCTTTCTCTCTCTCCTTTTGTCTCCCCCACCCTTCCATTACAGGTGATCGACCCAAGGCAGGCAAGCTCTCTCCGAGAAAAGGAAAACTCCTCTTGCCTCTCGTTGCTTTGCAGGCTCTCCCGGCCCCCCCTCTCTCTCCAGCCACCCCCACCCATTTTGGGGGAGATGGTTATTTAAGCAACACCTTTTCCCTGCACCTAGACACTCTCCAAATCTCTCCCTCTCTCCAGTCCTTCGGGCGACTCACTTTGACGAACTTTTTTTTGTGTGTGTGTTTAATTAATTCAGGTGTTGGCATTTGTAAAAAGTTATTTCCCCAGCTCGTTGTCTCTCCCCCCCCGCTCCATTAAAAGAAAAAAGATTATTTTTTTTTTTGCACTGGTGTGTGTGTGTGAGAGAGAGAGAGGAGAAGAGAGAGAGGCCAGAAAAAACCTCCTTTGCAGCCGACCAACTCAAACCCAGCCGCCACTGATCGTGAGAACAGGATGGAAGTAAGCACGGATCAGCCCCGGTGGGTAAGCCACCACCACCCGGCCGTCCTCAACGGGCAGCACCCGGACTCCCACCACCCCGGACTGGGCCATTCCTACATGGATCCCACGCAGTATCCTCTGGCGGAGGAAGTGGATGTACTTTTTAACATCGACGGGCAAGGCAACCACGTCTCTCCGTATTACAGCAACTCGGTTCGGGCGACGGTGCAGCGCTACCCGCCGGCCCATCACGGTGAGTGCCAGGATCCTAGCAGATCCCGGGGAGGGCGACCGACCCGTTCTCCCCTCCTCTCGCTTGCTTGCTTTCTCTCTCTCTGCCTTCCCTCCAACAACTGCTACATTTTGACAGCCAGCGATGAGCCCCGGAAACTAGACAGAGAAAGCAGGCGCTCTCTCTCTCTGCTCTTTCTGCATGCTTGGTCTTCTAAACTGCTGATTTAATGCAAGCCCAAAAGCCATTAGCAACTGACAAGAGAGAGGATCGTTTCTGGGAAATACCAGGTCTGTGTCTCTCGCTCAGGCTCGGCCTTGTCCTGGTGGAAGAGGATGAGCTCTGGGCCTCTTTGCAAACCAGCCACGCTCACCGCGTGGAAAGTGCTCCTTGCTGCCCCGATCCTGTAGCATGCTTTTAAAAATATTACTCGGGAAGCAAAACTCTTCCCCCCCCCTTTTTTTTTTGGTTCAACGGGATTTTCTTCCCCAATACGCGCGCACTGGGTTACAGGCTGCGGTCGCGCCAGCTTCCCTTGGGATTTCCTTCCTCCCGTGTAAACGTGTCCTAAGATGTGCTGAATCCCCATTATTTGAGGAGAAACGTCCCAATGGCCTCCGCGGAACCGGCTTGCACACGCAAATCCGATTTGAACTGCAACCCGGTTGCAGCCACTACTAACCTGGGAGCAAGCCCCACTAAAACTCAGCGGCGCTTCCTTCCGAGTAGACATGGCTCGCTTTGCAGCGTCAGGCTGAATGCCGATGCTTGCTTGGGCGGCGGGGACTGAGGCCCACGAAACTGAGCGCGAGGCTTACTTGCGAGTAAATGTTGGCCTAGGGACAGGTTGTAACGTTTGTGGGTTAAAAGCAGCTTGGGAACTGGGTGGTGGATGGGGCTCATTTGCGCAAAAAGCAGGGTCTATCTAGTAGTCACACACTGAAGCACTTTGAAATCCTAATGGATTTCCGCAGGTTTCCCACGCTTTTAAGAGGCGCCAGTCCCCTGCTCTTTTACCTAAGAGTAAATCCACTGCACACTTGTTTCCGAGTAAACGTGTCCCTTCTGCTGGGAGGTGGGTGGGTGGCTGGGTGCAGATCTTTGCTCTTTGAAAATATTTGACTAGCTTTTAGATCCTGCCGCTATTTTAATCCCTCGCCTTCATTATTACATCCGGAACCACGATCTGGAGCAGACGGGCTTCAGTGTAAACAAACAAACAAACAAACAAACAGCCCATCAACTACGTTTACTCGGACGTAAAGTGAGCTGAAGCCGACCTTACTGAGGACTTAAGACCGCATGCAGATAGTTTCAGAAGTTTGTCCTTAACAGAATTTGTGGCTAGTTAGGAACCCACACGGCTCCCCCACTCAGCCGCCCCCCTGCTCACTTTGAAAGCCCCCGCGCGTGTTTTTTAAATTATCCCTTGGCTGTCATTTCTAGTTTTTAATATTACTTGTAATGATGCCGCTGCAAAAGACAACAGGCTCCTTTTGACAGTGATTATGAAAGCACTTGGGAAAGAGAGAGAAGGGGGAAAAAAAACTCTTCCCAGTTGGGCGATGAAAAGACAAACTTGAACCGTTCTAAACTAGAACTCTGGGAGGAAAAGAAAAAGAGAGAGATGTAATGACTTAGCCTCCGGGCTGAGATGTTAGAATTAAAAGCTGTCAGGGAAAATAAGTGATATGATTGTCTCCCTGGGACTTCGTCCCATTAGTATGTATGAATCTGTACTGAATATTCACAGAAGCAATACAATAGCACCTTGTCAGGACCTTCCAAGTCTGACAATGTGGCCTGCCAGTTTTCGGAGTGACACAGAACGCTTCAAACGGGATGGCAACAAAGCACAGGCAGTCAAAAGTTTCTTAAGTTTTTTTTTTAATATACAAATAGAAATATAAATATATTAAAGTAGTGAGAAGCAGTGTAAGAGCCTGTGCCTGTCTACTTAGAAGTAAGGCCTACTGAGTTTGATGGAGCTTACTTCCAAGTCAACACTGCAGTCCGAGCCTCTTACCTATTTCCCCAGGAGCAGGTCCCTTTAATTTCTCAGGGATTGCAGCCTTTAACCGTGTGCTAAACAATCTGCTCCAAGCCAACTAAAAGTATTTAACTTTGGGCTGGGTCCTGCTCATTCCTGTTTGATTTTAGCATTCACCCTGAGGTGCTCTGTGTAGCTCCCAAACTCACCCACTTAGTTTGGTCTTTCTAAAAGGCTTAATTTACTCTCTCTCTCTCTGTGAAATTTTATTCTAGAATGAATTTTTAAAAGGGTGAAGAAATAATGTAGTAGGCAGGAATGTATCTATGCAGTTAAGGAGAGCATGATAAATTGGTGGGTGAGGAAGAAGAATATTTGTGAATATATATCTCAGATATATATTCACCCCCCCCAAAAAAATAAACCCCAAACTTTTCCAGCTGCAGATTTAGCTCTCGCTTTTCAAGCCCTTCTCTGGTTTCCCTCGCCCAAAAATTGGGAAATAAAGTTGGGGGTGGTGGAAGAGAACTAAATTTCCCCAAATGTTTTAAAGAGCAAAAAAGGGCCTCCTCCGCCTCCGGGGAACTGAATGAGCAATATTAATCCCTGATTAGTAATTGCCTTGCCCCGCTGTTAGTCTTTACAAGACATTTCAAAATATCGTTAACCCTTCCCCTCCGAGTTGCAAAACAATCGCTTTGATCTAACGTGAATTTGAGTGACTCTGACGCCGCTTGTCCAAGAGCGTTTTCACACCTGAGGACTAAATTGGGTTAGAAGGAAAATCGCTCTCCATACCCTCAGAAGAGTCTTCATTGTTCCAAAATACCCACGCGATTTAAAAACGGGTCCCTTTTCAAACACACCCTCGCCCCTACCGTCCACAATATGCACGCACGGCAGAATAGCTTACGAGGGCTATTTCGTTTTTCTTGTGAAAGTTGCCTAGTTTATCTCTTCTTGGGCAAACAGTTCCAAGCCGCCCACCCCCGCAAACTCAGAGTCAAAGAATTTAGGGGTTTTGCTTGTTGCTGCTTCACCCTTGATTTAATTGGGACTGACTTCCAAAACGAACCTGGGAAGATCGTAGTTCTGGCTGCGTAGCAGGCAGGGGCACGCCAGTGGGTTTAAAAACAAAGATCCTAGCTTAACTTGGGTGGCTGGAGAGTGTTTGCTCCAGAACTTTGATTTCTTCATCCCAAAGTCTGGTTACAAAGCAAGAGTTTAGGTAGTTGTGCTTGCAAAATCTGCAACTATCTATCCGCTCGGAATCGTCTCTGTATATTTGAACTCTCCGAATAATTCACAATATCACTAAACAGCAACAGGAGAAAGCTGGCTTGAAAAGTTGCAGATTCCCCCTCCGTTTACCCATTAGAGTAGACTGCTCAACCCCCCAGTCAATTGCAACTTGGTCAATTAAAATGAAAGGTAAGGTGTTTTTAGAGCCTCAACCTGAACTCATTTTTTAAAAGAAGGAATGAATGCCTGTCTGATTTTTCCTCTCTGTTGAAAATGTCCTGGTTACATTTACTTGCAAGGAAGTCCCATGGATTTAAGAGGCACCTTAACATGTGGTTAGGATTGGGGAGAGACCCTGTTAAAATCCTAACTTGGGAAACTGTAGAAGTCATTGATTTGAATGGGACCTTCTTGCTTTGGAATACATATAATAAGGATGTCCTCTTTCTCTCTGTGTGAATGCTTTAAGCTTGAGCATGTACATGTTTACTCAGATGTAAGTCCCCTTGAGTTGAACAGGGCTCCTTTCAAAGGAAGTGTAAAAAGAAGAACCGCCTCAGTTTGGATCATTGGATAGTTTTCTGGTTCAAAAACCAACACAGGCAGACTCAGGAAACTTTTAACCGCTACCATGAGAAATTCTTGTGGAAAAAGTAAAATTTGGAGCTGTCTGACTGACAGAGGTTTCTTTTTTTGGGCGGGGGGGGGGGTGAAGAAGAAAGGAAAAGGAAAAACTTGCTTAAATAATTCTGCAAAATAATAATATAATTTTTAAAAAAGACATTTTCAGTCAATTTTTGGCATGTGTCGCTGAACGACATACTGGAAAACTGCCTTTCTTGCTTCAATCGCAAACCTATTAAATTGGAATTAATACTTCCAAGTACTTGGATTTAGCATGGTAATTTGTGTGTGGGAGGGAGACTGCCACCCAGTCAGCCACAGGTTGACTTAAAATGTTTCTCATTGGTTTCAACAAGATGCTAGTTGCAATCTGAAAGCTGTAACGTCATATGTGTCTACTTGGGAGTAATCCCCTTTGAGCACAAGGAGGCGACTGTGGAAACACAGGTATTTTGTATTTGCAATCGTACACCAGGCCAGGTTTGCTGGTACCCATGCATGCTTATCTGGGAGTCGGTCTATGTAATTTGGTGGGACTTACTTCTGAGTAAATATGCAGCATTTTGGACTGCATAGGGCTTTCTTGGAAAGGAGGCTGCAAGGTCCGAAACAGGATATTTTAATAATAACCAGGAATTTTAAAAGCCCATTTAAAAAGATGTGCAGCGTTTGCTCTCTGAAGATTACTCCACTTTCACTCCCAAGTATGGCACAGGTTTGAAACTTGATTTCTGTGAAGTGCAGGCATGATCCTAAACACATTTCCTCAAATGTAAACCCCCCTGAAGTCCATGGGGCTTGGTCCCAAGTAAAGTGTGATAGGACGGCTGCCTTATCCAGCATTTACTTAGCAGGAACTAAGACTGATTGAGCGGGGGTGTTTTACATCCGAGTAGATCTGCTTAGGATCAGGTTGTTGAAGTCCCAACTCCAGTGCGTTGGGCTGATTTTTCTAGTGAACATGATTTAAGCGCCCTGGGCTCCTTTTGGGGGAGAAGTGCAGGATATAAATTTAATGATTATAATCATATACATAATAAATCTATGGGCAGGCAAAATCAGCGCTTCAAGAGGTAAGGAGCTGAAAGAAGTCTTGCTTAAATCTATCCTTCTGGCCTAACTGGGTGATTATTCCTCCTGCCCGATGCTGTTGCAAAGTTCCCCCTGTTATCTTGCAAAAGGTGGGAGTCCTCGTTATGGGTTTTTGTCAATTTCACGTGGCCTCCTGGTTCAAGAAGCCGTGCAGGATTGATTGGGGAAGGCCCATTAGCAGGGATTGATTTGTCCAAGGGGGGTGAGTGGGGAACATTGCGAAGAGAGAGAAGGAAATCTGAATGGGATCATTCACCAACAAGGAATGATTGTTCTCAGTTACACTTTATCTTAGAGTCCGTGTGAGAGTGTAAACACCGAATTGGGGCCTGTGCGCGTGTTCACAGGCAACTTAGCTCCTGGTACATTTTATCCATGTTCGTGACATTCTTCTAGAGAAGCATGCGTAAGACTATTGTCTTCTCACCTTCTTAAGAAGCACACAAACACGCAGGTAAACGGAAGGAAGGGCCCTTTCACATGGTACAAACTCTGCCATGTTACCTACTCCTGTGGTCCTGGGCTTTCTGACCCAGCAGGGCTGCCAACTGATCAGAAAGGAAGTGAGCTGGCTTCCTCTTCTGCCTGGAGCAGAAGGCAGCCCGACACAGTAGGGAGATACGACAGCATTCTCACCTGTTAATGCTTGTGCAACAAAAGCCTGCTGTTAAAGGCATAGCTACAGTGTCCAGTCGAAAAGTTGGCCGCATTACTGAGGAGGGCATCTTTAAGGTCCTTTTCTTACACTGCTACATTTTAGGCATACACTTAAAAAAATGTCAGGTGTGAATAAATCATTAAACACCATTGAAACTTCCACTGAACTAAACCCCAGAATTTTAAGGGGTTGGACTAGATGACCCGAGGGTCCCTTTCAACTCTACAATTTTACGATTCTATTATCAACTTGTATTTAAGATACAGAGGTGAATGTGTTGTGTGTTCATGCCTAGCCTAAGCATTTTTTACTTGGAAGTATTTTAAGCTCCACAGTAATCAGTGTAATGTGCTTTCCTGTCGATGTTTAGCCTTAGGATTTAAGTGGGGCTTAGGGTCAGAAACCTACACCCCCCCCCAAGCCTGAAGATGTAGATGTTAGTCCCATTTATTCCAAAAAGTTGTACTTCCAACTCTTGAATTTGAGATCTGAGTGTTGGAGAGTTTTGTCTTTGGGCCTGACCTAATCCAACACACATTTCCATGAAAAACAATTACCACTTTGTTGAATTTGATTTCAATTTACACACCATCATAAAATCAGGAATGGATGATAAATCAACCAGTTTGAAATGAAACTGTCTTCTACGTAGATGTCTGTTTCCTTTCCAAATAACAACCTCATCTTGAAACATATTTACTCTAACACACCTGCCTCTATTCTGTTTGTTGACTACAACTGAGAATTTGCTTCCAAGTAAGTAGATAATTTTTAAAACATGGAGAGGGGGAGGAAAACCTCAGACTGCTTTTTTAAAAAATAAAATAAAATCAAGTATTAGGTTTATGTAAATTTCCCACTGTATTTTCAATAATATCAACAAAATATTCTTAAGGCAAAAGATCTGGTATCTGGACCTATTAGATTGTTGTTGGAATATGGTTTGCAACTTGAATGCATCAATTTTATGGAGCAATTCAAACTTTTGCCTCTTGTTTTCTCCCTTCTCTGCTGCTGTCTTTCGCTTCAGTACTGGGGTAACACTCCCTCTGGGATTATGTCGTGTGTGAACCTATTTATGAGAACTAAGGAAGTTCAGGCCTGGGGAGGGAGGGCAAACGCAGCTCTCTAGATCTCTCTAAACCTCTGTTGAGCTCTCCCCAGCCCATATCCCTCACTGGTCCTTACCAGCACCACTTCTGACTCTCCATGAATGCTTTTGACTGCATGGAATGTGGCTCTGAACTCTTGAGAATGCCCTTTTGAGCCTGGATGGAGAGATGTGTCTGTGTCTCAAAACCTCTGGCTTTTGCATGGCGTATTGGACAAAGGCTCTATCCTCTGTAGCCTCGTCCACCAGTGTCATGTGGCCCTCAGAAGTTTGTATTATGAGGGAATGTGGCCCTTCAGTGAAAAAATGTTCCCCTCAACCACTAAACACTGAGAGAGATTATTTAGCGTTCCCCACAGTGATGTGGGGAAAGGTAGAGGAGCGTCTATGGAAATCCACTGGTCCCACTGGCTAATTTTAGCAACATTATAGCCTTCTAAAAATAACAGCCGAAGGGGTTGAGTGCGAACACAGCACAGGACCCAAATGGGTTCTACTCAGAGAAGACCCACTCAGATTAATAGACTTAAGTTAGTCACGTTCATTGATATTGACGGGCCTATTCTGAGCATGAGTCATGCTGGAGACAAGACACAATCCCCCATCACATTTGCTCCAAAGTAGTCTATCGGAGACCGCCCTGGAGAGAGGCGGCAATTTGATGCACACTTAATTTGTTAAACTTGTTGGAACTTACTTCTGAGTAGCCCTGTCCTGAATTGCAGTGTCAGTTGGGTCGGTACCATCACCATTCCTCTCCACTTTTGATCTCAGACTTCTATCCTGAGCAGGGCTATCCCAGCTATAGAGGCAAAAGAGACATTTGCCCAAGGTAGGACAGCAGGATTTCCACGGCTCCTGCTAAGTAAATGCCACCTCCTCTGAACTGGCAGGACGCAGAAGCTTTCAAGAGCTTGGGTGTGATTAGACTTGCGCTCAAAGCGTTGGCATTTGGGTTTGAGAAGGTGGGTGGCAACGCTTCTGTTTTGCACATGGTAGCCAACGCTTCCTCCCTGCAAACCTCAAATCTCGAATCGATTGAGGGATTTCCGTTTTGGGTTGCCAGCAGATCTGTACTCAAGGCATTCCTTGACTGGAGCCCTGGGAGAGCACCCCTTTTGCATGCAGAAGGTCCCAGATTCAGTTCCTAGCATTGGCAGCCAGTCCTGGGAATATCCGTAGTCTGAAATCCTGGAGAGCCGCTGCCTATGGAAAATACTGAGCTAACATTAACATCATCATCATCATCATCAACAACAACAATTATTTATTATTTGTACCCCGCCCATCTGGCTGGGTTTCCCCAGCCACTCTGGGCGGCTTCCAACAAAGACCAAAAATACACTAAAATGTCACACATTAAAAACTTCCCTGAACAGGGCTGCCTTCAGATGTCTTCTGAATGTCAGGTAGTTGTTTATCTCTTTGACATCTGATGGGAGGGTGTTCCACAGGGTGGGCGCCACTGCCGAGAAGGCCCTCTGCCTGGTTCCCTGTAACTTTGCTTCTTGCAATGAGGGAACCACCGGAAGGCCCTCGGCGCTGGACCTCAGCATCCGGGCAGAACGATGGGGTGAACGATGGGGTGGAGACGCTCCTTCAGGTATACTGGGCCGAGGCTTTAAAGGTCAGCACCAACACTTTGAATTGTGCTCGGAAACGTACTGGGAGCCAAACTAGGTCTTTCAAGACAGGTGTTACGTGGTCTTGGCGGCCACCCCCAGTCACCAGTCTAGCTGCCGCATTCTGGATTAGTTGTAGTTTCCGGGTCACCTTCAAAGGTAGCCCCACGTAGAGCGTAGTGCAGTAGTCGAAGCGGGAGATAATCAGAGCATGCACCACTCTGGCGAGACAGTCTGCGGGCAGATAGGGTCTCAGCCCGTGTATCAGATGGAGCTGGTAGACAGCCGCCCTGGATACAGAATGGACCTGCGCCTCCATGGACAGCTGTGAGTCCAAAATGACTCCCAGCTAGATGGACTATTGGCCCAACTCTGTTGCAACTGAGCCCATCTGACTCACAGGTCCCTAAGCTGTCCCATCACCCTACCTCCTTTGGGGAGACGTTGGCTAATGGGGATCTGCTTTTGTCTTTCTGTCCTAGCAGGTGGCCAGGTGTGCCGTCCGCCATTGCTGCATGGTTCTCTCCCTTGGCTGGATGGGAGCAAGGCTTTGGGAAGCCACCACAGCACCGCCCCATGGAACCTCAGCCCCTTCTCCAAGACCCCCATCCACCACAGCTCGCCTGGACCTCTCTCCGTCTACCCTCCGGCATCCTCCTCCACTTTGTCTGCGGGCCACTCCAGCCCACACCTCTTCACCTTCCCGCCGACCCCTCCCAAAGATGTCTCCCCGGACCCCTCCATCTCCACCCCAGGCTCCACTGGGTCCAGCCGGCAAGAGGAAAAAGAGTGCATTAAGTACCAGGTGTCTCTGGCTGAAACCATGAAGCTGGAGTCTTCTCATTCCCGAAGCAGCATGGCCTCATTAGGAGGGGCCTCTTCCTCAGCTCATCACCCCATCTCCACTTACCCTTCCTATGTCCCTGAATACGGCTCTGGACTTTTCCCTCCCAGCAGCCTGCTGGGGGGATCGCCGACCGGTTTCGGGTGCAAATCCAGACCAAAAGCACGTTCCAGCACAGGTAGGGTCCTTGACGGATTCTTAAAATGCTTCTGTTTCAGGTTCAGGAAAGACTTTTCTTAATTAAAAAATGAGCACAGGTTAAGGACTGGGAGGAATAATCATATGGGAAGAAGGGGGGTTGTATGGGTTTTCAGCTGCAAATTCAGACCAAAGAGCTTCCAGTGCAGGAAAGGTGCTAAATGGATGACCAGTTAGAAGCCAACTCTTGTTTTATTTTTAAAAAGAAGCCGAGGATCGTTATAAGCAGAAAGCAAACTCTGGCAATGCAAAGGTCAACAAAGGGATCAAGCAGATACCACAGAACCTTTCTTCCTAAAACACTGTTGCATTCCGCAACAGTTGCAATATTTTGCTCTTCCTTGAGAAAGATCAGAACAAGCTAAGGTGACTTTCCTTCTGGTCTCCCAGTCAGGGCTTGACCAAAGGTGGGGTGGGTTAGCTTTAACAATGTGACAAGAGCCCCAGGTTCTCCCAGGCTACTCACTATTCACTCTGTCCATTTGCACATGAGAAACTCAATTGATTTTTAATGGGGATCATTTACCAGAAGAGGGAATCTTGAACGTGATTCCAGGAAACTCAGCGGGCCAACTAATTTTTGATATTTGCAGGGCTTATGCACTTTCTCCGTTTTATACACAGAGATATTTGATTTTATATCGGTTCCTCTGGCATTTAGAGAGACAATTCTCTTTGGCTAGGGATCCCAATTTCACCGTTTGCAAAATGGTTAAACCAAACTATGCTGGTTTAACTACATTATGTCAATTTCGACTTCCTTTTCTTCCCCCAGTTGTTATTTTTTCTGAATATAAAGTGGATTGGATTCTCCCCCTCCCACAGCAAAGGGCCGTTAACGCTTACTGTAATGTAGGTCCTATTGATTTCAATAGAACTTACTTCCGAGTAAGTGCACTTGGAATCCTTGCTGAAATTGATTGAAATGCCAGTTTTCTTGGCTTGACATGAGTTGCCCCAGATTTTATAAACCCTATTTTGAGCATGTTTGTTTAGGGAGCTGGTGAAGCAAACTTTGTTGATTTTGACGAAATGTTCGTCTGAGACAAAGTTCTTACAATTGCATTGCTCTGGAGTTGCATGAAATTAATTGGATCCATGTCTGAATAAACATGTTGGATAGGTGATTCAGCTTTCTCCTTATTATCACATGTGCTAAACCTCACTCACTTATACCACCCCACTCCTAGGTTCAGAAAGATTTGTACAAGGTGGTAGTGATTAAAAATGTTTTCCATACTCTACAGGTCAGTCCTTTCCCTTCCTTTTTGATTTTTGCCTCGTGGGAGAGAGGAGCAAAGAGTTGAATCAGATCTAAGCTGAAACATCACTTCCAGCCCCACACATTCAACAAGTGGGGCAGTCCTGATGTTCATGGGAGGGGGCTAATCCCAAATTCTCTAGAGCCAAATATAGCATAGGACCAGGGGTCAGCAAACTTTTTCAGCAGGGGGCCGGTCCACTGTCCCTCAGACCTTGTGGGAGGCTGGACTATATTTTGGGGAAAAAATATGAATGAATTCCTATGCCCCACAAATAACCCAGAGATGCGTTTTAAATAAAAGCACACATTCTGCTCATGTAAAAACACCAGGCAGGCCCCACAAATTACCCAGAGATGCATTTAAAATAAAAGGACACATTCTACTCATGTAAAAACACGCTGATTCCCGGACCATCTGTAGGCTGGATTTAGAAGGCAATTGGACCGGATCCGGCCCCTGGGCCTTTAGTTTGCCTACCCATGGCATAGGACATCACCCCACTCTGATGGGTGATTAAGGATCAATGCACCCATTTAATGCAGAGATTTCACTCCTATCTAATGGACTCCATTTTCACACCTCCACAAATGGCTGTTCAGCCACATATACACACTTTTTGGCTGGGCGTTCCTGCGCTGTGAACATTCAGTGAAACAGAGATGACAGTGAAACTTGAGAGAGAGAATGTGGAATAGATACCGAGGATGGGGAACTTTGAGATGTTGTTAGACTACAACTCCCATTATCCTTGACCATTGGGTATGGTGGCTGGGGCTGACGGGAGCTGGAGTTCAGCAACATCTGGCAAGCCACAAGTTTCCCATCCTTGTTACATTCAATATGCTTGCCAACTTTTTAGCTTGGCTCGGTAGCTGACCCCTTTTAGCTGCAGTAGACATTAGGAGAGGCTCACGTTTATCCACTATTGTGAATGGTTTTAACTGGTTGGCAAAGGCACAAGAGCAAACCAGGCCAGTGTATTTTTCCAGTCAGTTGGCAATCTGTAAGAGTCTGATTATGCATTTGTCCAGCAGCCCTAATCCACTTACGGATTAAAACAGCAATTGCTTTGGCTGTTTTAGCTGAAATTGACACACCAGGTGGAACTTTGACACATGATTCTAAGCCATGGTTTAAGCCATGGATGAACAAACCATAGGTTAACTTATTTTATTTATTTATTAGATTTATATACGAACCTTTCACCAAAAGATCTCAGGGCGGTTCACACGATAAAAACATGATATAAAAGCACAAATAAACCATGAGTTCTCCCCACAAACAAACCATGGCTTGCTTCTTCAAAGTTTGTTTTGTTTTCCAGCTGCTGCTCCTGCCTCATGCCTTTGCAGTGTGGTGAGAGTGGGGGAGATAAAACAAACCGAAGTTAAGGAAGGCTAGTGGTTTTACATGGAATCCACCATGGTTCAAAAGCCTACAATAAACCATGGCCTCAGATTGTGGTTTCTTACCAGTAAACAAACCATGGTTAAGCTGCTGAGCAGGATTCACGTGTAACGCTAAGACATGGTTTAATAAACCGTAAATTAACAAACTCCCATTTAGCATATGTGTAAACCAGGCAGTTCGCTTTTCCTCTGCTGTTTTTCCCCCAAGGACTCTTTTCTTTGTAAGCAGACACGCAAAACCAGAATGCACGATTCATTCATTCCTCTTGCTCCTGTGTAAGCCTCATTCCCAACCTGCTTGCTAAACTTAGAAACTCATTTTAATTCACTTGAAGCTACCTGCTGCTAATTTGAACATTTCTGGAAAGCTGGTTTTTACATGCACAGAGAGAGAATGTGTGTGTGTGTGTGTGTGTGTGTGTGTGTGTGTGGTGTTGTTGGGGGACCACAAAAACCTAATGTGTTCCGGAAATGTTATTTATTGGTTCAGTGACTTCCTTATGCAGAGAAAAAAACTGGATAGGCCTGTGTTCACTTTCCCCACTCAAAAGTCTCTCTCTGCACTTCCCCCAATTCTTTTCCCAGATCCCAGGAGCGAGTTTATTTTAAGTTGGTTTCTTTTTTTTCTTTCTGTTGGGGGTGGGAGGGGGAGAAGGGGAACTACCTAAGAAAAGAGGGAAGTTTTGTTTAGACTGCCTGATCTGGGTCTGTCTCCAAAATATTTCATAATCCATAGGCTATATAGTGAAAGAAAGCAAATTCGCCCAGGGAGGCAGTAGTGCTCAGCACAATTTATAGAAAGTGTATTTTAGCAGGCCTTTGGGACTTGCTTGCAAGTAAATGGCCATGATCCACAGCAGAATTATATGCAGTTTTTTTTTGGTGCAGTCCTGAGCATCCTTGTTCAGGAGTCAGTTACTCTTTAATAAGTGTGAGTGAGACCTCAGCTTCAAGTCTGTTGATTTTTGTGTGGACATCCTTACGTTGTGCTGTGTTCAGAATCCAGGCCTGCCAACTTTTTAACCACCCTCTGCCATTGTGGTTTCCACAAGAAGCTTGGATCTGCAGCTGCTGGCTGATCACCATGTTTATCTCCCTGCTGTGAAAAGCTAGACCAGTAGATCAAGCTGCTGTTAAGTGCAGAAGAGCAGGACACTTGGCAACACTAACTTCTGTTTTGTGATTCCTCCCCTGCCCTCCATCTTTGTACTAAAATCTTGGAAATATGCACCAAAATCAGTGGGGCTGGTCTCGGAATGAATGCCTTTAGGTTCCAGGCAGTTTGCATATTAAACAAAGATCAAAATAAGTCGCTCCCTCACCTTTCCCCTATTCCTCCCCCCACGTTCTTCCTTTCCTCATTGAGACTCCTGCAAGTAGATGTTGTCCAGTGTGAGTCAGATCAGTTTTCAGGGTTTTTCCAGGGTGACATTTACTCTGACTGTCTGAGCAGGGACTGTCTCTATTTAGCTGATATGTTTTAGCTAATCCAATTATTTTCAGACGGCTGCACGCGACAGTTACATTGTTTATCCAGCGCCAGGAACTTTAATAGAGTCCGGATGCGGTTAACAGTGACAAAAAGAAAGAAAGAAGTAAATGCAGAACTGCCTCTTTCTGTATATGCAAGCAGACTGGGTGTGTGTTTGTATGAGAGAGAGAAAGAAAGAAAGAAATAAAGAAAGAAAGAAAGAAAGCAGAAGAGAATGAAAACTCAGATCTCCTGCCTTTCCGACTTCTAGTAGCAGACCTCTGCACCTTTAACAACTGCCATGTCAGGCAGAAAAGGGAGAGAAGAGGCTTTCTCCACTGCTACTACAATCACAGCCATCATGGGTAGACTCGCAGAACTGTAGCGTTGGAAGGGACCACCATGATCATCTAGTCCAACCCCCTGCAGCGCAGGAGTCTTTTGCCCGACGTGGGGCTCAAACCCACGATGCCAAGGTTAAGAGTCGCATGCTCTACCAACTGAGCTATCCATGTCATCGTGGTCCAGGGCAGGGCCACAGAGCACCTGCTTTGCTTGCAGAAGACTCCAGGTTCAATCCCTGGCAGGTAGGGCTGGGAGCATCCTGCCTCCTTGAAATCCCTGGAGAGCTGATCAGTGTAGAAGCCATTGTGCTGGATGAGCTGACGGTCTGATCCAGTATAAGACAGCTGCCTTTCTGGGGTTATTATGGGTAAGGGCCATAGTTCAGGGGTAGAGCATGCTGAAGGTCCCATGTAAGGCTTGAGAGCCACTGCCATTTAGTGCAGGTAATACTGAGGCAGCTTCTTATGCTCCTGTGTCCCATGGATGATGTTTCCAGGGCCTACTGAGCTGAGATCCTGGGTGTAATTTCTAACCCACCCTCTTCTAGTCCTTTGGAGACCAGTGAGAAGGTGGGCGAAGGACCACAGGAGTTAGAACGGTCTGCTCTCCCTGTTGTGTTGTACTGAGTGTGCAGGGAATGTGCAGGCTGCATGTGATGGGTTGAGATGGCTCCCTTTTTTATCTTCTCTTTTTTGCCCAGGGACCCACACAGACACGGAGTGGCCTTGGCTGTGAGTCTCCAGTGCTGAACACACTTGGAAAGTAGTGCTATGGGAACCAGTGGAATTTTTTGCCAAGTGGAAGGGTTTAAGATCAGGGTGCTTTGGATGCTACAAATGAGGTGTGTGTGTATGTGTGTTGGCTTCCCATTGGCTATTGTTGTAGACTACCCAGGTCTTTTGCTTGCTCCACTGGGTCTTCTTAGGTCCTTGGTGATGGACAAGAAAGATGGTCTTCTTCTTCTTCTTCTTCTTCTTCTTCTTCTTCTTCTTCTTCTTCTTCTTCGTCTTCGTCTTCGTCTTCGTCTTCGTCTTCCTCTCTCTGCCTAGGGAAGGCCTGTAACTCCATGGCAGAGCATCCAGGTTGCATGTGAAGGGTCCCAGGTTTGAATTCTTAGCATCATCTCCAGGTAGGGCTAGGAATGTCCCCTATCCAAGACCCCACCAAGCCACTGCCACTCAGTGTGGACCATACTGTGCTAGATGGACTCAAGGCAACTTCCTCTGTTTCCGTGCAGAAGGATGCTAAGATATATGGAACTGCCTTATTATTCCGTATTATATCACTGGTCCATCTAGCCACCAAACTGCCCACTGAGCAGGCTGAAGGTAGGTTTACATCTGCAGAGCCAGCTCCGAGTTTGAGTGGGGGCTCATCCTATATCGGTGGGCTTGCTTCAGTCTGGTGGTGGCGGCAGCAGCAAACAGCTCTGTCTGGGAGCCACGGCTGAAGTTTCCCACAATGCCTCTGATGTAGCAATAGCTTCTTCTTTTTTGATGATGTTAGGAAAGGGTCTTAGCTCAGTAGCAGAGTGGTTACCTTGCATGAAGGAGGTTCAGTCCTAGGCATCTCCAGGTAGGGCTTGGAGGGACAATTGTCTGAAATCCTGGAGAGATAGGTCAGTGCTAGTCAGTGCGGAAAATAGAATAATAGAATTGTAGAGTTGGAAGGGTCCATGAGGACCATCTAGTCCAACCCCCTGCAAGGCAGGAATTCTTTTGCCCAATGTGAGACTTGAACCCACAACCCTGAGATTAAAAATTTCATGCTCTACCGACTGAGCTATCCCAGGAGGAGGGCAAATACTGAGCAAGATGAACCAATGGTCTGACTCTGTGCAGGGCACCTTCCTGTGTCCCTATGTTCTGTCCATCTGTGTCTGAAAAAGCAGGTAGAAATGGCAAGGAGGAACAAAAGCAGGGTGAGGAGGTCAATATTAGCTTCCCCCACCTGTGCAAAGGGCCTTGGCAGAAAGGACTGTGAGCTAAGTCTGGGGACTGCAAACAGATTCCCAAGCTGAGAATGAGCTCTGGGGCACCCAATTCCTTAAATTTAAGTGTGTGTCTTTGCACCTGCCTCTGATTCATGGACCTTGGCACTCTAGCGTAAGACACAAAGTAGGTCTTTCAGGTCTTCCCACTCTCAAAATCTCCAGTCCTGCTCCTGGAGATATTTTCACCTTAGAGGGCAGCAGGGCTGAATCTTGTTGAGGTCGCCAACTTTCTCCTTAGTTGGGATTCCTGTGTTTTGAACGCGCAGGCACTTAGCAGCTGAAACTTTTCTGGGCAGTGAGCTAGGGAAGAAGCATCTTCTGTTCAAAAAATTATCTGCCATGACACCCGATTGCTAAAAGCGCAGGAGCTCTGTCAGAAAAGAAGGTGGCAACCCTAGGCATGCAGAGTCTGGACTGCGCCTTCTGCAAGACTTTGGAAAAAGCTTGTAGTATGGAATCATACTTATTATTTTTTAAAGGCCTAGCTCTTTTCCGCCTTCGTTGCAAAAGTTCCCAAACAACCCGAAAGCCAGACATAACATTGTTGTGTTGCAGAGAGCTGGGTTGAGTTTGGATCTCTGGCTGAGTGGAGGTGAAGGTCCAGAGATGGGAAAGGAAGGAGGCCCAGGCGAGATGGTGATGGAGAGGATCAGGAGAGGTGCCCTGCCTTTTTGGTCTCTGCTGTTGTTCTAGCTGTGTTGTGACTTTCTGGTGCTGTGTCTAACACAGACCAGGAAAAGGAACCAAAGAGGAAACTGCAAGCAGGTGACAGACACCTTTCTGGTTGCGGATCAGACAGACTCAGATAGGGCAGCTGGCTTCAAATGATTGCCTTATCATTGCCGGGTCTCTCTAACCGCCATTCCTCCTATCCTCCGACATCAAAGAGCCCAGGGCTGCTGCTCTTCTGGGGCAATCTGAGAACAAACGCTGACCACATTTTGCATTCTCGAGTGCTTCAGTTATCGTGCGCTTTGTCTGAGTAGTGCTTACAATAACCTTGCAAAGTGGGACCATTGCTTATTGATTTACAGAAAACATTTCTGTGCCGTCGTCTCACTAAATATGAAACATAAAGCACTGTCAAAAATAAAAAACAGGCAAACCCTGCAAATTGTGTTCACCAGAGAAGCCAAAATAAAAATTAAAAAATGGGATGAGTGTAGGCATTAGGCATCAGTTTTAACTTTTATTCAGGGAAAAAAAACAAACCAAAGGAATGACTGCCTGTTTCTTGCTTTAGGGAAGTTCAGGATTAGGGTGAGATTTGAACGGGCGACTTGCTCACAGACCCAGGTCTGCGGCTGTTCCTAAGATAATATACCTGAGACAGCTTGGATGAGCGCTAAGCACCAAATCAGTGCTAAGGCTTTTCATGGTAGTCCGCTGCAATAAGGGGGGAGTGGAGGGGATTCTCATTAATTACATTTGGACTCTACTTTTCTCTGTGAAGCTCAAGTTCTCAAACCTCCCCAATTATATTCTCACAGCTGCCCTGTGAGGTAGGTTGGGCTGAGCGATAAGTAGTGCTTTGGGGTCGCCCAGAGAACTTCATGAGGATTTAAACCTGGTTTCTCCCCTCCAGTCCTAATCTGACTCACACTATAAATCAGGAATTCTGTTGAGGGTCTGTCAGGGGCTACATGGCTGTGGTGGGCTGGGAACCTTCTATCTCTCTCTCCCCCCTGCCACCCCCTTCTCTATTTCTCTCCCGCCCCTTCTGCCACACTCCTTTCTGCTTAATTCGCTCCCACTTAAAACTAGGCCGTGTTTTCTCAGGCTACAGACTGCCCATCCCACGCTAACTACTACACCACACTGTCTCTCAGAGGAAGCGTGAGATGAGTTTCCCATATCCGGCAGCTTCCTATATCCAGACCTTTTGAAAGAGACAGGATTGTTTCCCAGAATGCACACGGGGAGCCCTACGGCACTATTCCCGTCCTACTTGTACTCTACCAAATTATTTCCATTTTACAGAGGAAGAACTGAGGCAGAGCAAGCAAGGGAGCCAGGGGTGTGGTGGCGGCGAAGCCATCGTGATTGGAATGTTTGCATTTTGGCCTCATGGCAGTCTGTGTGGACGCGGCGTCTGCTGGCGGTTAGGCGACCTTCTGGCATTTTATTGGGATGTGGAATCTGCCAGAGGTGATGAGTTGTGGTTCAGACTTCTGCTTTTCCCTCTGCCCTGAGTTTCCTGCTTGTGTGTTTAACAGCAGTCTGAAGCGCAGAGGTGCAAAGGAGATGAAGCGTTTGTCGGCCTGGCGAGTGGTAGTGAAAATTGCAAGCTCCATGGGGTAAAACATTTGTGTGTCAGCTTGCACAATGGAGTCTGCTCCATTAGAGCAGACCAGACACTGCTCTCAGTCTGCTTTCACTTTTTTGCCTCCTTCACTGCAGCCAGTTTGGGGGAGGATGACATTGACCATCAGATTCTTCCTCCTTTGTCTCCATGTTGCCTTTGCAAAACTCAGTGAACAGGAGGATGGGGACAAAAGTACAGTGGTATCTCTGGTTGTGAACGGGATCCGTTGGAGGCCCATTCACAACGTGAAAAGCCCGCAACCTGAAGCGCCATATCTGCACAGGTGCATGGTGCGATTTGGCGCCTGTGCGCATGCGCGAAGCGTGATTTAGCGCTACTGCGCATGCGTGAGCGGCGAAACCTGGAAGTAACCCTTTCTGGTACTTCTGGGTCGCCGTGGGATGCAACCTAAAAAAAGGTAACACGAAGCAAATGTAACATGAGGTATGCCTGTAGAATCAGTTGGTTCTGCCACTCATTGGCTCTGGTTTTAACTAGCACAGGGCCTCCTTGTCTTCTGCTTCACGAATCCTGATGGGATTTGGCCTCCACTGGGGCCAAAGAAAGAAGATGCCTAGATGTCTGGGTAGCTATGCACCCTACTTTACAGAGAACAATCCTCCATTAGAAGACAGACCTCGTTTGGATTGAGTCCTCTGTTTTGGAAGGGCTGTCCAGTTGGTTTAAAGAGGGGGCAGCAGGAACTGCCTATCAGCAGTTAGTACTAGGACTAGGCGATATCTGGTTTTCCACATTGTGACATATCTAAACATCGTGATATACCGATGTATCATGATGGCAGAAATAAAGATTGAGCTAAGTAGTGGCATTGGCTGGTTTCACGGTTTTCAGCACATTGTGGTTTTTGCATAGTGCGCAGACACACACATCACGATTCGAGATATGTGGCCAGCTCAAAAATTATGAAACTGATATTGCAGCATCCTGGATAGCTCAGTTGGTTAGAACGTGGTGCTGATAATGGGTCAGCTGCATATTCTTGCATTTTGGACTAGTTGATCCTCAGGGTCGGGCCCCCCCCCACCAATTCTGTGATTCTGTGATACGGATGTCAAACTGGTTTTGCACAATATATCGATATATCACCCAGCCCTAGTTAGTACCTGGACAGGTGACAGACTACCTGATCTGTGGTTCCATTCTTACCCAACTATCGTGAGACGCATTGTGGTTCGATGATGAGTACACTTGTTGTTTGTTAATGAGCGTCTGCACGTATGCAAATCTGTGTCCTGATTTGTCTCCTGTTTTCAGTGATGCGTTTCCTCTCCCCCCCCCCGGCAACGTGAGTGACTCCATCTTAGCAGGCTTTTGTTGTCTGGAATGCTGTGGAATGGCGGTATCCTGAAATGAGGAGCATCTATTATATTCAGGGGTTGGGATGGGTTTAATTGTCTGCGGTTGGCAAGCCTTGAAAACGAGAGGTGCCTCTAAAAATATTCTGGTGGTTCCAAGTACAGAAAACTCAGTAGGCTGGTTCTGTTGTTGGTCAGGTGTGAGGGATTATAGAGCTTTGGGTGGAGAGGGTCCCCAGCATTTCCACGTAGGGCTTGGAAGAGTTTGTGCTCTAGAACCCTGGAGAGCCACTGCTGACCTGTGTAGACAATACTGTGCTAGATGAGCCTAATGGTCTTGGTTCCTTGGCCATCCCCCTCTTCAGGGCTATATGCAACACCCCATCACCAACATAGCCTGCTATGATCCTGTTGCCACTGTTGAAATAAGACTCTACTGCCTCTCCACTCTGCTTATGTATATTGGGAGGTGGTGGGCAAAATTGTTCTCAGCCTCAGGCGGCAAAATGTGTTGGGCTGAACCCAGTTTGTTCCTTGGAACTGCATGGCATGGTCTGATTTTTACTCTCAAGGAAACGGGCATCCATGCATTTGTTTTGACACCTCTGTGTGCGCTAGGAAACCTCAATGCAAGGACAACCCTCCTCTCTTTATGCACCCAGTACTTTTCCATTTCTGAAAAGTAGCTCTGTAGCACTCTGCAGACAGCAGTGGGGAGTTCTGCTGGAGATAGCCAGGGAATCTACACTTCTGTCCCTTAAGTGCAGAACTGTACATTTGTCCCAAACAAATTCCAGGAGGTCCTCTAACCCTCAACATGAGGCCAAAATGCAAACGTTCCAACCACGATGGCTTTGCCACCGCCACACCTGTGGCTCCCTTGCTTGCTCTGCCTCAGTTATTCCTCTGTAAAATGGGGATAATTTGGTAGAGTACAAGTAGGACGGGAATGATGCAGCAGGGTTGACAGCATGCATTCTGGGAAATCACGCTGTCTCCTTCAAAAGCCCTGGATACAGGGAGCTACTGCAGCTTGGCTCACCTGTCCCCTCCTCTGAGAGACAGTGTGGTGTAATGGCTCGCATGGTGTGGACAGTCTGTAAGCCTGAGGAAACTCAGCCTAGTTTCACGTGTGAGGAAAAGAGGCAGAAAGGAGAGAGATAGAAACTGAGAAGGGGGTGGCAGGAGAAGGGAAGAACGAAGGGGTGGCGGGAGGGGGGAGATGGTGCCACTGCCATTCAGCCCCTGACAGATTCTGATCCAGGGAGTGTGGCCCTCAACAAAAGAACAATTCTGGACTGCTGATTTAAGAATGTAAGTCAGACTAGGACTGGGGGGACGACTGGGTCTAAGTGACAGCCCTTAAGATATTTGAAGATGGCTCTCAGTCTCCACTTTGCCAGGCTAACCGCACACAGCTCCTTTAAACGTTCCTCGTAAGGTTTAGTTTCCAGACCCTTGATCAACTTGGTTGCCCTCCTCTGCACACGTTCCAGCTTGTCAACATCCTTCTGTAATTGTGGTGCCCAGAATTGGACACAGTATTCCAAGTGTGGTCTGACCAAGGCAGAATAGAGTGGGACTATGACTTCCCTTGATCTGGACACTATACTTCTGTTGAGGCAGCCTAGAATAGCTTTAGGTTTTTTTTGCTGCTGCATCACACTGTTGACTCATGTTAAGCTTGTGGTCCACTGAGACCCCTAGATCCTTTTCACATGTACTGCTAGTAAGCCAGGTGTCGCCCACCCTATATTTGTGCATCTGGTCCTTCTTGCCTATACCTTTGTCCCTATTGAAATTCATTTTGTTAGCTTGTGCCTAACCTTGGATTAGAGGGATGGTTTTCTGATTAGAGGATGGTGTCTCCAGCAAATCTGGCTCGAGAAATCAGGTGTGGTTTTATGAATGGTTTCTTGGGCAGAAAGCAAAACAACTGAGGGGCTGGGGATTCCGGGTTCAGTGACCATCTGGCTAAGTAACTGCAGCAGTGATCCTTCAAAACCCAGCTTCCCAAAATTTAACCTGGGCATAGCTGCTGTTTGTGGAAAGACATACCTTCGTTGAACAGGTAGATTAGTCTGTCTGGGAATGATGGTTTACTCAATTGAAAGCACCCACGAATTGACTCATTTGGCTGAACGAGTCCTTTGCAGACAGGGGCACGTTTGTCATAAGAGGAAACTGAATCACCTGCTAATATTCATAAGTGCTGTTATAACTGGGTGGAGGGCAGGATTGCATCAAAGAAGAGGCAGATCTAGGCTGGATCTAAGGAGGTTGCTTTGCTTCTGTTTATCTAGGTCAAATAAGAGATCAATGTAATAATTAAAACAGGATTGTTGAACATGCAGTTCGATTTCACTTGGAAGCAAGCCTGCCTTACCAGCTTCCTCGCCCAGAATTTATGTCTGCGCCTTTAATTTCTCCAGGATGCTCAGATGGGAAGCATTCATCTACCTTCTTGCCCATGTTTTCCCAGGCTGAGAGAGCACAGTCTTCCTCATCCTTGCAGGGCTTCCCAAACTTGGGCTTCCCCAGCTGTTTTTGGACTACAGTTCCCATCATCCCTGACCACTGGTCCTGCTAGCTAGGGATGATGGGAGTTGTAGTCCAAAAACAGCTGGAGACTCAAGTTTGGGAAACACTGGTTAAGAACATAAGATGAGCCTTCTGGATCAGGCCAGTGATTCCTCTAGTTCAGGATCCTGTACTCACAGTGGCCGACCAGATGCCTTTGGGAAACCAGCAAGTTGTACACAATAGCAGCTGTAACTGGACTTGGTGGTTCTTAGGTAGGGTGCTGTCAACTGAAAAAACAAAAACTGGCCCTAATCCTGGGTCTTCAAGAGCAACTTCAACTTATTCCTGCATTGCAGGGGGTTGGACTAGATGACCCGTGGGGTCCCTTCCAACTCTACGATTTTATCGTTCTGCAAACTTGCTCTGCCTGCATTCTCAGCATGCTGTAAAAAGCTGGTTTCTCTGGAGATAAAGCTTTAATTAAAAAAAAAAGGGGATGGCAGGCCAGCCTGTTCTTAGGGGAAGGAGGAAGCAAGGTGGATATCCAGTTTTATTCATTGGGGGATATTAATTAGGAATTTTATTTACTTGATTACATTTATCCCCCTCCCCATTTTTATCCTCACGACAACCCTGTGAGGCAGGTTGGATCGAGAAAAAGGAACTGGCCCCAAGTCACACAGTGAGCTTTGTGGCTGAGTGGGAATTTGACCCGGGTTTCTCCGGGCTGAGCCTGACCCTCTGATCACACCGGGGGTTATTCGCACATTACATTCAACACGTGCGCAATCTGCGATGCCGCTGTCAAGGTGTGTACTCGCGTAGCTGTTCACATGTAACACCCAACACCTGTGCAGTATGTGTGCCTGTTTACACAATATACAAATCAAGGGGTGTACAGCCCTTTGCACAAACACTTGTACCTATGTAAAGATACCTTGTTGTTGTTTAGTCGTTTAGTCGTGTCCAACTCTTCATGAACCCATGGACCAGAGCACACCTGGCACTCCTGTCTTCCACTGCCTCCCTCAGTCTGGTCAAACTCATGCTGGTAGCTTCGAGGACACTGTCCAGCCATCTCGTCCTCTGTCGTCCCCTCCTCCTTGTGCCCTCAATCTTTCCCAACATCAGGGTCTTTTCCAGGGAGTCTTCTCTTCTCATGAGGTGGCCAAGTCTTGGAGCCTCAGCTTCAGGATCTGTGCTTCCAGTGAGCACTCAGGGATGATTTCCTTCAGAATGGATAGGTTTGATCTTCTTGCAGTCCATGGGACTCCTCAAGCACCATAATTCAAAAGCATCAATTCTTTTACCTGTATTTAATAAGGAGTCTCTTATTTGCAAGAGTAGATGGAAAGGAAAAACAGCAGCTGCATGCTTGGGAAGAGGAGGGATGTGTTTTACCTTATGCTTTGATAAATTGTCGGTGGGAAGGGAGCTAAGGGGTCTTTCAGGAGAAAGTTGAGCAGTGGCTGTGTACGCATGTAACAATGGTGTTATTTCCCCCCGATTTGGATTGAAGTTGGCTTGGAAAAAGGAAAGAAGCTACTTCTGCACGCATCCCATAGTTAAACTATGGAACTCTCTCCCCAAGGGGGAAATGATGGACACCAACTTGATGGCTTGAAAGGAGGATTAGACAAATTAGGAGAGGGCTCTTGATGGCTACTAGCCAGGATGACTATGTCTCCTTTGTTGGAGGCAGCACTGATTCCAAGTTCCAGTTGCTGAAAACAACAGCAGGAGACAGGGCTCTTGTGCTCTGATCCTGCATCTGGTTGGCCACTGTGAGAACAAGATGCTGGATTAGATGGGCCATTGGCCTGATCCAGCAGCTGGTTCTTCTTATATTCTTAAAATGCAGTATCTCATAAGAAACAACAGGATAGGCACAGAGCAGACCTGGACTGTGGCCGACGTCACGGGTTCACTGCTTCCCAAACCAGTCATGAGAGTGCATTGGATGCGGAGTTAAATAGCCCATGCAAGTCAAGAGCCACATCTGAATCTTACCATGCTGGTCTTATGTACTTGGGCTTTATGCTGGCTTGGATTTTAAAGATTTATTGAGGGTTTTTAACTGTATGATCATTGCTTTTGCTTCCTTTGTATGCTATGCCACTTGGAGGACTTGTTTACGAGCCATTGAAGAAACAGAAATAACTCCCCATTTTGTGGACTGTCCACATCATAGCTGTCAACTTTTCCCTTTTCTTGCGAGGAATCTTATTTGGAATAAGGGGATTTCCCTTAAAGAAAGGGAAAAGTTGACAGCTATGGTCCACATTGCTGCAGGGCAGAGAGACTTGGTCAGGAATGAAGGCAGGCACCTCTAATCCTGACCTTCTTTTCCAGTGATTAATGAAATTTAATTTTTACAATCTGACCTTTCCAAGAGCGCTTTGATAGGCTGTGGCTGATGTTTTGGAAGGTAGAGGAAAGAACTGGGTTAATCTGAGTGGATGTTGGATCAGCCCCATAAATCTTTCAGTTTGACAAAGTAACAGTTCGCCCGGCCATCCTCCATAACACGATCGCAAAGGGGGCAGTGGTGTGCAGTGGCTAGTGCATCTGAATGGGATGGAGGTGTCCCGGGTTCAGATCTATGCACTCAGCCATAAAGCACCCTGGGAGACTTTGGGCTTGCCGCTGCCTTGCAACATTACCGGCTTTGCAGGGTTGTTGTGCGAGGGTGGTGAATGCTGCCTCGAAGGAAAGGCAGGTTAGAAATGAAATAACTCCTAGGACCCAGAATAAGTTCACACAGGAGATGTAATAACTTTTGGTGTGGCTACCAAACACATCTGAGCCATACAAGGAGTGCAATAAACAGCTACATTGCTGCATCACTGGTTAGTCCAGGCCTCCCCAGCTGGTGACTTCCAGATGTTTTGGACCATTAATTTAATTTAATTAATTTTTTGGGGGAATATTTATATCCTACCCTTTGCACAAGCCGCAAGACGGTTTAAAACAAAATCAGATGCGATACAGAGAATCCCTAAAACAATGCAGTCCTTTTTAACACCACCATAGCTCACAAGAAATCATTAAATAGCAATTACCATTAGAAGAAGCTGAGCAATCCATTTGCCTAATCATCTCTCTCCTTCCCCAAACATCTGCTGGAAAAGGTGCAGCTGCTGAAAACCATAGAGAGGGGGTCAGAGGTGCCTCAATACAGAGTCCTACATGTTAGGAGCCACCACCGAAAAGGCCCTTCTCATATCAGCCCCAGCTAGTATGGCCCAATGGCCAAGAATGATGGGAATTGTAGTCTAAATCACCTGGAAAGTATCAGGCTGAGGAAGGCTGGGTTTGTCCTTCCACAAGCAAGGCAAAATGGGGGTCTTTGATGATGAGCAGCTGGCTTTGCTTGCTGGCATATTATTTGCTATATTTTGCCGTAGCAAGAGTGCTGCAGACCTGGGCTGCTTTGAAGAGGTCCTGGAAGAGAAGGGGGGGGGGGAGAAAGAAAAATGAGTTTGGATGAAGGATAGAAAGAGAGTTGGCTGTAGCCGCAATGTTTTTCTTCTGTGGTGGAAGAGACATGTGCTGAACAGAGAATGAGCCTTCCTATTTCAAGGACAAATTGCAAGTCGAATTTGAGCATGCTGTTTATGGATCTGCCCTGCAAATCCTATACAGTATATAGGCGAGCGACTTCACAAACTACGTAATTAGCTTTCTGAATTTGCTGGCGCAGGATGTGTCGATGGCTAGAAGCATAAATGGCTTTGAAAAATGAGAGAGAGAGAGAGAGAGAGAGAGAGAGAGTGTGTCACAGAGGAAATGGAACCTCCTTGGATATTGGTTGTAATCTCCGAAGGGGGATCCTCCATAGATTGTGGCAGAATATTTACAAATTGATGCCGGAGATAAACACCAGTGCCTTCATTTCTTGCTGATATGCCTCTGTTTGTTTGGAAATGGTCCAGCTAGATGGAGCACATTCTAACTTTCCATTTCAAGGTATCATTTTCCGCATGTATCTCTCTCAGCTGCAAGTTGTCTTCACAGCATTGCGGAGAACCATTTCTTAACTCTGCACCGGCGCAAAGTCCACCATCCAGAATATTTGGGGATTAGCCCTGCATGCTCAGTTGGGTTTTTGCCTTGCCCTTCCCTCGACAGCCGCCCTCTCCACCCAAGGCTGTTGAGAAAACCGCTTTGACATTTGGAGTGGTTTCAGATGGCGGCGTACAGCATGAGAGAAACACACGTAACTACAACATAACAACGTAGTCGTCACCGGTAAATAAAAGATTAAAAGAGATGCAACCAAATGGAACAATTTCCATGTACAGTACATCACAACAAGATCTGAAATGCAGATACAAAACCCCAACATCAACAACACACTGCCCAACAATAAATGAAGATACACACAGGAAGGTGATGGACATTCGATGAAGGGACCTTCATGAGAGGCAGGCTAGAGGAGCTTCCTCAGGGTGTGAGGCTGAGGGAAGACTGGGAAACTCCCAGGTGATTGCTGGGAGGGTTCACTCTTCTGGGTGTGGAATAAGGATTAAGATATAATTGTGATAGAGGGCTTGGTATTATATACACACATACAGTTGTGCCTTGGTTCTCGGATGCCTTGCGACTCAAACGTTTTGGCTCCCAAACGCTGCAAACCCGGAAGTAAGTGTTCCAGTTTGCGAACGTTTTTTGGAAGCCGAACGTCCGACACGGCTTCTGATTGAGTGCAGGAAGCTCCTGCAGCCAATTGGAAGCTGCGCCTTGGTTTGCGAATGTTTTCAGAAGTCGAACGGACTTCTGGAACAGATTCCGTTTGAGAACCAAGGTATGGCTCCCCCTTTTTTCTTTTTTCCTTCTTCCTTTCGTTTCCTCTTGGTTTGTTTCTTTTCTCTCTCCTTTAGATTACAGTGGTGCCCCGCAAGACGAATGCCTCGCAAGACGAAAAATGCGCAAGACGAAAGAGTTTTCCGTTTTTTGAGTCGTTTCGCAAGACGAATTTCCCTATGGGCTTGCTTCGCAAGACGAAACGTCTTGCGAGTTCTTGCGAGTTTGTTTCCTTTTTCTTAAAGCCGCTAAGCCGCTAAGCCGTTAATAGCCGCTAATAGCTGTGCTTCGCAAGACGAAAAAACCGCAAGACGAAGAGACTCGCGGAACGGATTAATTTCGTCTTGCGAGGCACCACTGTACTTCGGTTTTTATTGTATTTTATGTTGGAAAAAATCTCACCAAACCCCCACCCCCAATGAAGCCCCCAAATAGCACCCCAGTGTCCAATGAGGGGTGGGAGGGGGAGAAGCAGTACACGGCTTGGAGTGGATGGGTTGGTGTCGTCACTGCATCCTCATCCAAGGCAGATGTGAGGTGCTGCTGACAGCAGAGATGGCTCCACCAATGTCCTACTTCAGGTGATTCACCTGAGCAGCAGGGCTTAACAAGGGACCCACGTGAATCCCAGTCTGATGGCTATAACACCCCCCTCATCCCCAGCCAACATGGCCAATGCTCAGAGATGATGTGAGATGTAGTCTTGACAGTTTTGGGGGACCCACGTTCGGGGAGGCGGCTTTCATTTCTCACGGATGAGAGTGGAGTAGCTGGACTTCTTTTCCCATTGGACTCGACACAAGCTCTGCTTTCGAACTTGGGACGTTATAAGCAACGTTGCTTCTTCTTCTTCTTTGGCGATCCCTCGTAGCCGAGTAAGATTGTCTTCCATAATCACGGTTTGAACAGTGAGCCCATAAGTGACTGTGGAGGCCAATTCTGGATCCACACGTCCTTCCACAGTGAAGACATAGGTTTCCAGTTGGGAGTTGATCACGGTGAGGGTTTGCCAAACTTGCCTTCCTCTTAGCTTGTTTCTCCCTTTCGTCTTGAGTTTGAGAGTCTTCAAAGCCCATGATACCTTTAGTAAAGGCTGTTCTCCAACTGGAGCGCTCACAGGCCAATGTTTCCCAGTTGTCAGTGTTTATACTACATTTTTAAAGATTTGCCTTGAGAGTCTTTAAGCCTCTTTTGTCGAACATGAGCATTACGCTTTCCTTGCAGGATGGTTTTTCCACATTAGAAGTAAAATATCTGTTGCCTTGGGGACAACAGTAGGAGAGGGCTATTGTCCCCATGCCCTACTTGTGGGCCTCCTGAAAGCATCTAATTGGCTACTGCAGGGAAGAAGATGCTGGGTGAGGCAAGCCTTTGGTCTGATCCAGCTCTTCTCATGTTCTGCAGTTCATCCAATGTATGATTGTCAACTGCTGCAGATTCAAAACTAATAGACAGTGTTGACCAGTGTTTATTTCATTTCTTTTTTAAAAAAGTTCTAGGGCCTTAGATCTTTTAATCTCTTTCTTTGTTTGCTATGGACAGTTTATTTCAGGAGTTTGCTTGCAGTTACTGAATATTGCACACACTCAAATAATATTTCACCTATTCTGAAATCTTCGCATTTTGATTTCTCATATTGCAAGACTCAGCAGTGACATTTAAAATTGCTCTAGTGCAAGTCAGACACTGTTATAGATTCTGTCTACCAGCCTAGGAACTTCCATCCCTAGTTGCAATCCTAAGCACCATTGAATAGTGTGGGATTTACTTCTGAGTAAACATGCATAGCATTGTGCTGCGATTCATAGAATAATAGAATTATAAAGGGATCCCAAGGGTCATCTAGTCCACCCCATGCAATGTAGGAATGTCAGTCAAAGCATCCATGACAGAAGGCCATCCAACCTCCAAGGAAGAAGAGTCTACAACCTTCTGAGGGAGTCTGTTCCACCGTTGAGCAGCTCTTACTGCCGGAAAGTTCTTCTAGAGCAGTGGTTCTCAAACTTGGGTCCCCAGATGTTTTGGGACTACAACTCCCATAATCCCTAGCTCACATGACCAGTGGTCAGGGATGATGGGAGTTGTACGCCAAAAACATCTGGGGACCCAAGGTTGAGAAAGGCTGTTCTAGAGGTTTAGCCAGAATCTCCTTTCTTGTAACTTGAATCCATTGGTTCGGGTCCTATCCTTCAGAGCAGCAGAATACAAGCATCCTCCATCCTCCATTTGACAATCCTTTATATATTTGAGGAAGGCTATTATGTCTCCTCTCAGTCTCCACTTTCCCAGGCTGAACATACCCAATTCCCTCAAGTGTTCCTCATATGGCTTGGTTTCCAGACCCTTGAACATCTTGGGTGCCCTCCTCTGCACACGTTCCAGCTTGTCAACATCCTTCTTCAATTGTGGCACCCAAAACTGGACCAGTTTCCCAGGTGTGGTCAGCCCAAGGCAGAATAAAGTGGGACTATTACTTCCCCTGATCTGGACACTATATTTCTGTTGATGCAGCCTAGAATAGCATTAGCATCAGTCCAGGTACTTGCGTCTAGGATAATTTGGTTTAAAAGTCCCTTACTCCTTGGCCCATTCAAAAAGTGACAGCTATTTATGTGCCATTTATTAGAACATTTACACTAACTTCTTCCTAAATGTATGTTAAAACTTCATTAACCACAGGAAGATGTTTAATACTGGCATACGTTAACCTGGGTATTTTCATACTCTCCCATCAGTCTATAATGCAAATGTAAAACCTACCTTATTAGGATGTATACAATCTTCTGTGTTCTGCTGTGCATTAACACCAAGAATGCATGCAAAGTTTTAAAATCTTGCACATGAAAACTGCATAAGCCTTATTTGACCCTAGCTTTGATATCGGCAGCTGAGGGTTGTTGTATTTTTGGGGGGCACGTTTTAGTTTATTTACATGCAGGGAAGCAGAGCTCTTGCATGATTTGATCTAGCAACTCAGGGTTTTGTGGGGCAAGGAGGTTAAGCTGCCTGGCTTTTTTTCAACTTACCAGTGAAATGGTGAGATCTTGGCGAAGGCGATGGGGTGGTGATGGGGGACAGATCTGCCTTACTTGACAATATGGAAAGTGAAACAGATCAGAGAAAACAAAAGCTACCAGGAAGCAAATAAGACCCAATTCTTACCATCAGTTGAGAAAATGGTGCCATCTGTGTTGAGCTGGCCGTACCGTCATTATGCAACCTTCTTCTTCGGCAGAACCACAGCCTGAACATAAACACTCCAAGTGTCCCTATGTTCCAGGGACAGTCCCAGATTTACAGAAGCTGGTTTCTGATTTGATCCCAGAATGTCCCGCTTTTCCTTAGGATGCCCCAATTTTGGAGAGTATGGACTAAGAGGTCCTTATTTTCATCAGAGAGGTGTTGGAGGAGACATCTCTACAGTGGTACCTTGGCTTTAGAACAGCTTAGTTTATGAACAACTTGGAAATAGAATGCTGCAAACCTGGAAGTAGGTGTTCCGGTTTGTGAACTTTGCCTTGGAAGCGGAACATGTTCTCCTTCCTGTTGAGTTCTGTTTGTGAATTGAGTCCCCTGCTGCTAATCAGAGGCTTCCCATTGAGTCTTTCGGCTGTTGAGTCCCAAGCACCCACGCAACACAGAGGTGATATTTGGAGCTTTTGTTTTTTCTATTTTTTGCATTTTTGTTTGTGTGGCTTTTTCGTTTTTTTGACTGTAACTTGTTGTTCGTTTTGTGGGACTGACTTGTGACTGTGGCTTGTGACTTCGTTTTTGTGACTTGTTTTTGTGACTGTGTGGAACCCAGTTCAGCTACTGATTGATTGATTGATTGATTGATTGTGTGACTGCGGAAATGGATAAAAGCCCCCTATCCAAACTATGACTATCATCAGTGCATGTAAGAAAAAAAACAATTTTAATTTTTACCATCTACAATACTGTCTTATTTATTTTATAGTACCGTACATTGATTATTTCTTTCATTTTATGGATCAATGGTCTTCTCGTTAGATAGTAAAATTCATGTTAGATTGCTGTTCTAGGGGTTGTTTTTAAAAGTCTGGAATGGATTAATCCATTTTGCATTACTTTCTATGGGAAAGCACGCCTTGGTTTTGGAACGCTTTGGTTTTGGAACAGACTTCCAAAACGTTTGAGAATTTGGTTCTCATTGAGTTTGAGAGCCAAGGTACCAATGTATTTTCATCAGAGGAATGTTGGAGGGTATGTGAACAAGTTTAAGAAAAGTGACCTGCCTTATCTGGATAGGCTTCTGAGTACCAGAGCTGAGGAAACATTTTTGGGACTTACAGAGTGCATCATCCTTGACCAGTGACCATGCTGGCTGCTGATAGGACAACCTCTGGAGAACCATAGGTTCTCTTTCCCATATCTATCTCCAGATTTTGGATAGAACTGCGATTAAAATATAGAGCGCACTTCGATTTGGAAAAGGATCTGCAGTTATGCTCAAATGGACTCTGTTTACAGGAGGAGGCTGTTTTCTGGCACCTGCCCTTAGGAAATCATTGTTCTTATTTTGTCACTTCTGCATTTGAGGGGGATACCTTTGCTGGTGTGAGTTGTTACAGTCTGTCAGTCTTCAAGGCTAAACCTTCTCCCCTAGTTACTAGCACACCAGTCTCTGAGCATGTGGTGATGAAGTGCGGTCAGAACATAGGGATGCTGCCTTCTCCTGAGTCAGACCATTGATCCATGTAGCTCAGTGTCGTTGACACTGACTGACAGCAATTCTCACATACCCTCTGACATTTCTGCAATGAAAATGGGGATGTCCTATTCAACAGCAGCAACAACACTCCACCTATCTGACTGGGTTGCCCAAAACACTCTGGGCAGCTTCTTACAACATTTCTTTGAAGAAAATAGGGACGCGGGTGGCGCTGTGGGTTAACCACAGAGCCTAGGACTTGCCGATCAGAAGGTCGGCGGTTCGAATCCCGGCAATGGGGTGAGTTCCCATTACTCAGTCCCTGCTCCTGCCAACCTAGCAGTTCGAAAGCACGTCAAAGTGCAAGTAGATAAATAGGTACCACTCCAGCGGGAAGGTATACAGTATTTCCGTGTGCTGCTCTGGTTCGCCAGAAGCAGCTTAGTCATGCTGGCCACATGACCCAGAAGCTGTACGCTGGCTCCCTCGGCCAATAAAGCGAGATGAGCACCGCAACCCCAGAGTCGGCCACGACTGGACCTAATGGACAGGGGTCCCTTTACCCTTTACCTTAAGGAAAAGTGGGACATTCTGGGATCAAATCAGAAACCGGCTTCTGTAAATCCGGGACTGTCCCTGAAAACTAATGACACTTGGTGGGGGGGGGTATGGAATTTCAGGTGCTGTTTTGTCCCAGCCTTACCTGTAGACGCCAGAGATTGAATCCAACACTTTCTGCATGCAAGACTGCTGAGCTACGGGGCCCTTCCCCTAGGGCTGTAATAAGTATTTTGTTGCTCCAGTGACTGCGCATCTAAATCCATGCACCCAAACACTAAAGCAGCATGCATTGCACAGGCTGTCATTTGCTCCCTGCAGCTACTAAGATATGTATATTTTGAACTACTGACAACATCTTGCGGGAGACAATTGCCCCATGCATATTAATGGCAACGGCATCTCTGAGCACTGATCGTTATGTAGTCAAATCGCCACCACCTGTGTGCAAGAGGGATGGGTCAGCAGGTTCAAGAGAATCCCAAGGTTTTCAGAAGCACTAAAAAAAAAAACACCTTAAGGAGAAACTTTCCCCCAAACAACTCATTGAAAGCCAAGCATGCTCAGAGGTCACAGATTTGCTGAGTGTCTGTGGGATGAAGTGGGGATATTCCGGAAAAGGGGCTGGCAGGCACATTGAGCAAGAATGCTCCACGACGTAACGTTTTGGGCACATCCAAATCATATCCAAAGAACCCAGGCAACTGGATTCCCAAAGCTACAACCCCCAGAACCCTAAATAAGCTACATTTCCCAGGATTCTTTGGGGAGAAAGCCATGTGTTTTAAATCTGCTTTAAATTTACGGTGTGTATGTGAGCTCCGTTGCAGGTCCAGCTTACGTGATTTTCTATTATATTTTGAACCTAAAAGAAAGCCCACCCCCTTAGCTCTTAAATTATAGTGGAGTGAGTGAATATAGCGCTCAGAAGACCAAGTGGAAGGTTTGATAGTAGTCTTGGGTATATTGTTCAGTTATTTCTTCGCATATAAAGTGTTGATAACGTGCACAATGTACTACTGAACCAAAATGGCTCCACCCATAATGTAAATCAGGGTTTTTGAACTTGGGTCTCTAGCTGCTTTTGGACCACAACTCCCATAATCCCTGGACACTGGTCCTGCTAGATTTTTTTTTAATGGGGCAGCAAGCATAATGGTTTAATTGCACCCGGCTTTTCCTGAAGTGCCTGCCTTTTGACCAGGGAGGGTTGAAAGTTGGGACAGGAGAGAAATTTGGTTCAGCCCAGATTTTAATGTGAATCTACCCGATTCACATTTTCCGAAACAGTATGCGAACTGGAAACTCGGCTTCCATTAGAAATTTGCACTTCCCTGAATGTTGCGATGTGGTTCTCCACCCAAACGACTTGTACGAAAACCTGAATAGTAGGGGCAAGTAGGCTCAAAGTGCATGTGTTAGGGAGAATAACAATAGGAAACACATTCTGTTAGGGTGAATCTCTTGCAAAACTGTGTCCGCTTGGCAAAATTTTATACAGAAAGAATATGAAATGTTCCAGGAGAAATTTGCACTGAAATGCTGATGAATTTTCACGGGAGCTTAAAAAAAAAAGTCACAAACTGCTGCAGGAATGTGGGGAACAAGAATTTAAAGTTGATGAAATGAGAGAGTGAAGTTTAGAGATTCACCTAGCTGTAGTTGGAAATGTTACAGGAGAAATTTGCACTGAAATGCTGACGAATTTTCACGGGAAGTTAAAAAAAAATTCACAAACCGCTGCAGGAATGTGGGGAACATGAATTTAAGGTTGGATAAATGAGAGAGTGAAGTTTAGAGATTCACCTAGCCCTAGTTGGAAGGGGAAGCTGAACTAGGTGGAGAAATTGCTAAGACCTCTTTCGATTCTCCCCCCCCGCCTGTTAATTTTCTTGTGTCCTTGCTGTCCATCAATGAACTGTGTCCCCTCTTGTTTCCAGAAGGCAGGGAGTGTGTAAACTGTGGCGCTACCTCGACCCCCCTATGGAGGAGAGATGGTACGGGGCATTATCTGTGTAACGCCTGTGGACTATATCATAAAATGAATGGGCAGAACCGCCCCCTGATAAAGCCGAAGAGAAGGCTGGTAAGTGACTTGACTCTCAAAAACTGCACTAACTTCTTATTTTTCTTTTTCTTCTCCCTCCCTGTCATGTTGTGTTTTTGAATTTCCTCAGCCCAAGATGGAGAACTTTCTGGAGGGAGTAGATTTGGGCACCCCCGCCCAAAGTCTTATCTGTCTGTACAGAAGAGGGTTTTTGAGAGAGCCCAACCCCCCTTTTTCACTATGCCTGCCAAGTTATGTACCATTTCTATGTCTCTCTATATATCTCTTTTATTTTTTTATTTTAAAAAAGAATCAAGTAAGGGGTGGTGATTTTTTTCCGGCGGTTTCAAGAGGGGGGGGCTGAAGAAAGTGGGAGCTTGGGGGGCGGGCTGGGAAGCATGCGGTAGGCATGAAAAAAGAATCCATTTCATTGTAAAAAAAAGGGAATGTTTTGAAACTAGTTTTTCTCCAAAGTTGAAAGCGTCCTGGATTTAAAAGCAGTGCATCCGTTTCCCATTCATGACGCAGTTTCTGGAACTCCAAAAGGACTAGTGACTTTGGGACTACATTTTTTGTTTTAAATGCCACAGGATGGTATACAGTGTTCTCCATAGTCAAAGCAGACCCATCAAAATTAATACTGTCTGTCATTTTGCCCAGGCTATCCATAAAATCGGACCCTATTATTTCCAAATTCCTTCTCCATTTCAATTGGTCACCTAGTTCATGGTCTGGAGCACATGATGCGCACAATTGTGGGAACACATCTTGGCCACTTGGAATGGCTTCACACTCTAGACCTGCTGTGAGTGGGTTGTGTACAGCTATGACTGATTGTGTTACTCAACTCCCTTTGGAGCGGTGTTCAGTTGTGGTGCTTATGTGTGACCCTAGACACAACCGTGCAGAAATTCAACTTGACATGAGAGAAGAGCCAGTGCCCAGAGGGTTTTCCAGTTGTCCTATGTTATTTGCCCTTTGGAAACAACTGGAAAATTTCCAGACATTTTGGAACTGTGACTGCAGAACAGGCACGGCCAAGCTGTGGCTCTCCAAATGTTGTCAGACTTCAACTCCCATCAGCCTTAGCTAGCATGGCCAATGGCCAAGGATGATGGGAGTTGGAGTTCCACATCATCTGGAAGGAGACGGGTTTGCCACCCATGTTTAAAAGTACAAATCGCGAGTGCTCTATGTGGGAATAGGCTCTGGGGATTGCACCAGGTCCACCTGATAAGGCAATGTGTTTGCATCCAGATGCCTTTGGGAAGCCTGTTACTAAGTCATGAAGGCTACTAAGTCACTTTGACTCCAGCATCTAGTTTTCAGAGTTATACTATCTCTTGAACATGGAGGTTCCATTTAGTTATAGTTGCTCACAACCATTGGGAAACTTGTCCTTCTGACAGGTGTTGATACCTGCCCTCCTTGACTATTAGAACCTCAAAATTCCTTATAGCCTTATTTCCAATATAAGAGTATAGCAATCGGCGTGGGAATCTTGTAAGAAGACGACAAAGCTGTGGCTCATTGAGAAACATGCATGTCCGAGGTGACCTCTAGTGTGGATGACTCACTCAGTGGTGAAAGTTGTGAATCCTTACTTCCTCGGTTAAATTAGAAGCATATGATCGGAGGCATGAGTTGAACCGGCAGGTTTTGAATCTCCATTGCTTTTGGTAATGGGCAGATTGGTTTGCCTTTGGAAGAGGCCCTGAACTGCAGGAGACTCAGAAGCTGGCTTAGTCAGTTGGCTTAGGGGTAGGGAGCCTGTGCCCCCCCCCCAAGATATTGCTGGACCTCCACCTCCCATCACCAGTTGATCCACATTCTGAGATCTGCTGAGGGTGTTCTTGTCCGCAGTCCCGCTAGCAAGTGTGTTCAGAGACGTGAGACAGGGCCTTCTTGGTGGTGGTGCCCTGACTTTGGAATTCCCTCCTGCTAGGGGTGTGCTGCTGAGATGGCATTCTAGCTTTGAGGAATTGGTTAATCTGTCTTGGAGATCTAGAGCGTCGTGTTATGCTGTTTTTATTTGTATTTTAAGGATTGCATGTTTTAATATAGTTGGAAACTGCTTTGGGCCTTTTCTGCGAAAAGCAGTCTACAGGTTTTAGAAATGAAACAAACATACTTCCCGAGTACCCAGAGGTTTTCTCCATCTTGGATAGATGCTAATGACAGTCCTTGTTTCTTGCTTTGCCGAATTGAAAAGGAATGTGTTTGTGAACAGATTGACACCTTTGACAAGTGGTGTGCACGCATTGGTAGTGATAGTTCTGTCCAGTACTTTTTTTCTGGGAGGACGCATAACCCTAAACATTTTGCGAATCTAAGTTTGGCCTCATTGAGGGGCAGTATTTCAATATGAGTCGGAAAATGAGAGTACCCCTAAACATGTTTTTCAAGAAAAACAGCACTGGTTCTGTCTGTGGTGCTTGGCCTGTGATGACCTATTCACACATGCTTAAATCTTTGATTTATGCTGCTGGTGATCCAGGGTCCAAATCTACCTGGAGGAGCAACAGCCATTTGGACTCTGCAATAGTCATCTGAGGCCCTTATTCGTGTGCCGCCTCCATGAGAGGCCCGGAGGGTGGCAACACGCGAACAGGGCCTTCTCTGCAGTGGCACCCCATTTGTGGAATGCCCTCCCCAGGGAGGCTTACGTGGCACCACCATTACATATCTTTAGGCTCCAGGCAAAAGCATTCCTCTTCTCCCAGGTGTTTGGCTAATTAATCTACAGCCTTCTAAGTTGTGTGGGTGGGTGGGTTATTGTCTTTTGTTCGTTACTGGCTTATATAATTTTGTGTTCTTATATTTTAAACCACCCTGTGATCCTTGGATGCAGGACGGTATAGAAAATTTAATAATAATTAATAATATCTAGATTTGCCCCCCATTCACAGACGGGCTATCAGTAATTAATAGCCATTGACGCCAAAAGGGAATTGCTTCGTGAGGGTTCAGAACTGTGTCAGGATCAGGTAGGGTTGCCATATTTTGAGGAGTAAAAAAAGAGGACATATTTGCCGACTTCTGCTTTTAACCATGGATAGCTATGACGACTCTCATTTTACATACCCATGAAAAAGAGGACGTGTCCTGGAAAAAGAGGACATATGGCAACCCCCGTGGGCTTTCCACAGGCATCTGGGTGGCCAACGTGAGAATAGGATTCTGGAGTAGATGGGCTCTTCTTGTGATTTTACGAGAGTGCAGAGCAAAAGAGGGGGCTCAGGTAAGGAGAACAGGGCTCTTCCTATCTCTGATACTTACCTTCTTCCTGCTTCTTCTCCCACCTATGTTTCTGTTTGGAAGGAGAAAGATATTGGGGAGACCTTATCTCCCACCTGGCGGAGCGGGACCAGGAGAAGCAGCTTAGGGGAGGAACGTGAATTCAAAACTAGTCCATGGGGAAAGGGTTAAGCAGCCCCCTCCCCTGCCAGTGCTGCAGTCGCGAATGGAAACCAACCCCCCCTTGGCTGCTTTCGATTAGAAAAGAAAGGGGGAGGGAATGCGAGGAAATTTACCCATGACTGCGTGTACCGTGTCGTTTGGCCCTAAGGAAATAGGACATTTGTTTGTTTCTACATCTGTTTCTCTAAACACTTTGGATGACTTACAATGCTGTTCCGATAGAAAAAGGGTTTTCGTGCACGCACTGTAAAATATTACGGGGTTGGGGGGCAGAGAGGGGAAACTGAGCGACTCCGGAGTGGGGTGAAATGTGTCTCAGTGCGGTCTGCATGCAATGTCACCCTGTCCTTCCACTTTCCCCAGTGTAGGGTCCTTTTCAGTTGCAGCTGGGCTACCAGGGTGTGTGGGAAGGATCCAGCACCCCCTGCGATGGCACCCCATATTGTAGTCTGTTTGCCACCCAGAATGAGAAAGGGTTCACTGGCTTGAGACTCCTTCTATAGCTATGGGGAGCAAACGGCCATAGCTCAGTGATAGAGTGTCTGCTTTGCACGCAGAAGGCCACAGGCTCGATCCCAGGCAGGGCTGGGAATGTCTCCTGCCTCAAAGCTGCCCGGAGACCTACTGCCAGCCAGTGTTGACAATACAGAGCTAAAGAGTGCACCATGGCTCAGCGGTGGAGCTTTATGCTTTGTGTGCTGAAGGTCCCGGGTTCAAATCCTGACACCCCCGGGGTTAGAATGATGGAGTGGTTGTGGGGAGATTAGGTAAACAGACTGATGCCTGCAGTCCTGAAGAGGCACTGCCGGTTAAAGAAGACCAGGTTTTTGATTCGAGGGCCACATTCTCTGCTTGGTAACCTCTCAAGGGCGATATGCCCATAGTGGGTGGGGCTATGCATGCAAATGTTGCACGTGTACCTCAGGTTTCTTCCCAAAGAATCCTGGGAGTGCTAGTTCATTATGGGTAGCTCCATGAGGGGAGTTTCCAGTTCTCTGGAAGAAGATACGGGGTTATAAATACTAGGACTAGCTGCGTGAGCAACAGTTTCTATCCAAATGCAATTTTGGTTTTAAACGCAGTGTAGGGAGTCTCTAGGGATGCGGGTGGCACTGTGGGTTAAACCACAGAGCCTAGGGCTTGCTGATCAGAAGGTCAGCGGTTCGAATCCCCGCGACGGGATGAGCTCCCATTGCTTGGTCCCTGCTCCTGCCAACCTAGCAGTTCGAAAGCACGTCAAAGTGCAAGTAGATAAATAGGTACCGCTCCGGGAAGGTAAACGGTGTTTCCATGCGCTGCTCTGTTTCGCCAGAAGCAGTTTAGTCATGCTGGCCACATGACCCGGAAGCTGTACACCGGCTCCCTTGGCCAATAAAGCGAGATATGTGCTGCAACCCCAGAGTCGTCTGCGACTGGACCTAACGATCAGGGGTCCCTTTACCTTTAAGGAGTCTCTACGGGAGTATATTGTATTTTAAAAATGGCTTCTCAGTGTTTTTAGGGTCTAACCAGGTTGGGATAGCTGGGATAGCAGGCTTGTTGGTTTTGAAGCTCTTATGTAGTTTTTTTTCTTTCTTCCTTTCAATTTCGTTGTTCTGTATGGGACAATGACAATAAAGATTATTGTATCTATCTTTTGGGGAACTGTGCTTTAAATGCATGGTGTTTGTGGAGCCTGAGAGCAGAAGAATCTGCAGCCGGCATTTTTGACCTGTTCCAAGACCCAGCCCAGGGGCCTTCTTCCCTCGAGTGCCCACACAAATTTCAGATGAACTTTCCGCCTGCGAAAGCCAGACACCTGGGGAAGACCAACTCACCACTGCTGGTGAGAATAAAAGTGGTTTTTCGCTTTTTCCCCCCTTCAGAGAAAGAGGTTTAAATTTCCTGGCCCTCCCCCGTTTCCTTTTTACATGAATCACGAACAAAACTCGAGGTGCCACCTTGATCTTTTTCTGGCTGTTTCCTCTAATAGTGTCATAGAATTGTCAAGTTGGATGGGAGTCCATAGGGTCATCTAGTCCAAGCCCCCGCAATGTGGGAATCACAGCTAAAGAATTCTTGAAAAGGGAAGCCACTGCCCTCCTTAACCAAGGAGGATAATCTTTTTCTTTCCTTTGCTGGGAAAAGCAAAACACCTACAAAGAACTGTTTTTGAGAGAGGACTTCAATTTGGTCCATCCCCTCCCCCTCAAATACCTCCCTTCCTTTTAACTTTCTAAACATAAATTCAGTGTACAAAAGCTAAACTCTTAAGAAATATCTGTGGATTGGAGATTATACATTATAAATAGTTGTCCTTCTTTCTTCCCCCCTCCCCAGTCTTAACCACTACAACAAGGATGGGGTTGGCCTACATCTCACTGGTCTCAGCCAGCATGGCCAATGGCGCTGGACGATGGGATTTGTAGTCCAGGAACATTGGGAGAGCCACATCTTCCCAACCCTTACACTCGAGAAAAAATTGGACATATCAGAAGCGGCTGGGATTTATTTCTTTTTGAAAGAAAATGTACCTGCCTAGCCATGAGGGTTTGCATAGGATGGGAACATAGGGAACTGCCTTACGCTGCCTTATGTTTGTTTTCTCCTGCTCCAGAGGGTACTGTTGTTAGCCACTCTGAGCCTGGCTTCGGCTGGGGAGGGCAGGATATACCGGTAAATAAAATTTATTATTATTATTATTATTACAGTGCCAGATTTACGTATAAGCTAAACAAGCTATAGCTTAGGGCCCCACTCTTAATATACTTCTTCTTAATTGTATTTCAGTTCAACAATTAAATACTTTGATAAAATACATATTTTGTTATGTGCAAATGGCTTTCAATACCACATAACACTGGTCTTGAAAGACCTACATTGGCTCCCAGTACGTTTCCAAGCACAATTCAAAGTGTTGGTGCTGACCTTTAAAGTCCTAAATTGCCTCGGCCCAGTATACCTAAAGGAGCGTCTCCACTCCCATCATGTAGCCTGGACGCTGAGGTCCAGCACTGAGGGCCTTCTGGCGGTTCCCTCACTGCGAGAAGCGAAGTTACAGGGAACCAGGCAGAGGGCCTTCTCGGTAGTGGCCCCCGCCCTGTGGAACATCCTCCGATCAGATGTGAAAGAGAAAAACAACTACCAAACTTTTAGAAGACATCTGAAGGCAGCCCTGTTTAGGGAAGCTTTTAATGTTTGATGTATTACTGTATTTTAATATTTGGTTGGAAGCCACCCAGAGTGGCTGGGGAAGCCCAGCCAGATGGGCAGGGTATAAATAATAAATTACTATTATTATTAGAACAATAAAAAAGGATGGCAATAAAAAGAAGTTGATGGCATGGATGCCACTAGCGGTACCCCCCACCCAGACTTTGGTTCCGTACACAACAGGCATTCTGAACACAGTTCCCTCCTTCCAAAGACTCCTGGGAGCTCTAGTTTGCAACTGAAGCTCTGCAAGAGGGAAACTGCAGTTCCCAAGGTTCTCTGTTAGGGGTGCTTATATTGTGTGTGCATCTGAGGATATGGCATACAACCAAAGCCTCATGCCAATCTGCCTTGAGTGCTACCAATGCTGGAAGGCCTCTGAGATTCAGGAGGAGCTAAGATTGGTGCCTCGTTCGTCTGAGGGCAGCGCCCAGTGAAATATGCCTGAGGGCTCAAGGCAGAGCCTGATGAAGAGGAGGCAAGGCTAATAGCTACCGTTCTCATGCCAAGCAGGAAAATCAACCTGTTCCCTTGGTGCTGTCCCACTTCCTTGAGATTTAAGCCTCTCCCCTAGAGCTCCCGAGTCCAAATAACAGCCGCAAACCTCTTCGGGAAAGAACGATAGTCCTGCTTTGCATGCAGAAGGTCCCAGGGTTGAAATTCTGGCGTGCTGCTGCCATTCCATGGGAGCCATCTCGAGCTTGCAGAAGCAATCTGAGCTTGCAGAAGCAATACTGAGCTAAGTAGACCGATGGCATGGGAACATAAGAGGAACCTGCTGGACCAAGCCAGTGGCACATCTAAGTCCAGCTAAGTCCTGCTCTCACAGCAGCCAACCCAATGCCTCTGCAAAACCTACAAGCAGGACCCGAGCCCAAGAACCCTTTCCCCTTCCTTAGGGGAGTTCTTCTTCTTTTTTTTAAATGATATTTATTACAGTTTCAAAAAAGGTTACAAAAATAGGAAAAAGAGAAAAAAAGAAAAGAAAAAATACAAAATACAGAAAAGTAAAAACACACTTAAAAACAAATCAATCTTTCCATGTCTTGTCTTTCATTTACTTGTTTCCCTGACCTCCTCACACCTCCCTTTTTTGTATTCCAGTTCAGTTAGCTAATTCAGCAAATCCTTTCCCTCTTTGTTTTTATCCTAATCCTTTAACTTAATATATTGTAACTTTAGATTCTCACCTGTTAATCCATTTTTACATACTCCTTTGTAACATTGCTGCTAAAACCACTTAACTTTATTCTGACATCATTCTAACATTCATTAATTTTACAGTATTTCTGTAAATAGTCTTTAAATTTCTTCCAATCTTCTTCCACCAACTCTTCTCCCTGGTCCTTAGGGGAGTTCTTGAGCATTGTTGAGCTCCAAGGAAAAAAAGTCCACCCACACCCACACCCACACCCACACACGAAGGAGACCGTTCCACTGTCAAACAGCTCTTACTGTCAGAAAGTTCCCCCTGATGTTTAGTGGGAATCACTTTCCTTGTTTAGTGATACCTCGGGTTACAGACGCTTCAGGTTACAGACTCCTCTAACCCAGAAATAGTACCTCGGGTTAAGAAATCGTGCGGCGGCAGTGCAGCGGCCACGGGACACCCCATTAGCTAAAGTGGTGCTTCAGGTTAAGAACAGTTTCAGGTTAAGAATAGACCTCCAGAATGAATTAAGTTCTTAACCCGAGATACCACTGTAATTTGAAGCCATTGGTTCGAATCCTACCTTCCCAGGGCCAGGAATCCTACCTTCCCTGTAACTTGGCTTCTCGCAGGGAGGGAACCACCAGAAGGCCCTCGGTGCTGGACCTCAGTGTCCGGGTAGAACCATGGGGGGGGGGGGAGACGCTCCTTCAGATATACTGGACTGAGGCTGTTTAGGACTTTAAAGGTCAGCACCAACACTTTGAATTGTGCTTGGAAATGTACTGTTCATGTCTCAGAGTGCAGCTTAGGTTTTAATGACCAATTCCAGGGCTGAGCCTTGCTGTCACTCTCGATTAAATTCTGCTCTCTGTTGTGTGATCATACGCCCTTTCCAGTCCTCTTTATATTAAGTTATCTTCAATATGAATTGGTTTAGGGTCAGGGAACTGAGTGTGCCAAACCGTCTTGTGAATCGCCTAGCGTTCTGTACCAGCTGAGCTGATTGACATCCAACGCCCTTTAAAAATGTGTTGTGGGGCGGGGATTATTGGCTTGTTTTGTTTTTATTACGCATTCTGTATTTTTATATTGTGATTTTATGTTGCAACTGCCCTGGAACCTGCGGGTAGAGGGCGGTGTAGAAATTTAATAAATAATGATAATTATTTTACAAAACGCATTGCACCACAATGCGACAGGTGTCTAAATCAATGTTGCTACATCCCCAAGGCGTGGCAGAGATAACTTACCTCAAATAGGCTTTGCTACAGAACTCTGGTGTGCATCAGTCCTTAAAGCCAACGTCTACAGATGCCAAGGACTCAGTGCAGCTCAAGTTAAATGTATTTTGTTCCCACTGATTTCAGTATCAATTTTAAGCACGGCCTTAAAGCTCAAATTTGACTTGATTGGCCCTGGGCCAAACTGGAAGTGTGATATGTTTTCAAGGTATCCATGGCTGTGAATTTGGGGTTCTTGTTGTTGGTTTTTTGTCATTTTCTGATATCTTCAGTGGAGCTAGATTGATAGTGCCATAGGAGTGTGAATTTTTGGTCACTGGAATAGAGTTCAGCATCCTCAAACTCTCATATTGAAAAATAAGCAGATTCCTAGTCCCTCGGGCGACAAATCTAGGCTTTATAAGTGTGTGGGCAACAATGATTTGGTGAAAATTCAGCAGGCAGAGGTTGGTACACAGAACTGCCATTGGTTGTATATTTGCGTGTGGGTGTAGAAGGCTGTCGGCAGAGAACTCTCTGTATACACATTTCCCCCTACCCTATGCAGTTACTGGGAGTTGCAGGTGGGCAGAGTGTGTTATCTCCTGCTTAGGGGCTTCCCATGGGCATCTAGTTGGCCACTGCAAGAACAAGATGCTGGACTAGGTGGGTCGTCGGCCTGATCCTACAGGCGTTTCCTGTGTTCCTAGTCTGTAACCTCCCAGCACAAGCAAAAGAAATAACTGCAGATGGGCCAAGTTACAGGATGCATTCTGCTTGCAGAATTCAGTTTTCCTTTGTGCATAAATTGCACTAATGTTGCACAGAATTCTGGTGGTGGTTTTTTTTTTTTTGGAGCACAGAACACATCCAGTGACAATTCTTGGCAGACATATTTTCTTTTTAGGTTTGCTCTGCTTGCCTGGCGAGATATATGCAGTCATTGGACTTAAGTCCATTGATTTCACTGGAGGCTCATCCACCATACTTAACTTTTGCCCCAAGCTATTTAGAGACAGGTTTAGGCTTTAAAATGCTTTGTCAGAGCAGGTTTCTTCCCCCCTTTTTCTTTTACCCCTGGTGCTTTCGATGTGAAAACCTGCTCTTTAATGCAGAGTTGGAACAAACGCCAATTCAGGTCTCCTGCCTATTGCCATTTGCTCTGAATCAGCGATAAAAAGCGATATTTTTTTTAAAAAGTACTCTGGCATTGCACTTTAAAGTGCAGACCTGGGTCTCCAGCTGTTGTTGGACTACAACTCCCATGATCCCTAGCTAGCAGGACCAGTGGTCAGGGTTTATGGGAATTGTAGTCCAAAACAACCAGCTGGAGATGGAAGTTTGGGAAATCCTGCATTAATTGGACACCAGTGGCAGAAACAAACTACCCAGCCATTAAACTGTAGTTGAGGACAAAAGACGGGGTCCTATTCTATGGCATACTTAGCATCAGAATGAATGTGACTGTGAAGAATTACCCAGATAATTCTCTTTTACGGGAGTATGGCAGTTCAAAAAGCAGAGCACACGTGATATTTTGCAGATAGATGGGACCAGGTTCAATCCCCTGGCATTGCTAGTTAAGAGTAAGAATAAATGTTGCAGGCGAGGGGAGTTGCGAAAGCTTCTGTAAAATAGCTTACTGGATGGACTATTGGCCTGATATGGTACAAAGTCTCTCCGTATGGACTGATGGAGTTTGTTAGTCATGGTATAATTGTGGCTGGAGCCAAGGGAACCTTATTTTGGAGGCTGTTTTTCTATCATGTAGAACAACAACCCCAGTCCATGTTTGTGGGTGTTTTTGAGCATTTGTTTATAGCAAACCTGTATGGGTTGCCACTCCCTAGGAAAAAATTGTTTGACAGAGGGGATGGGGGAAAGTCTCTGTTCAGGGGCAATGGGGGAAAGTCTCTGTTCCTAGTATCTTCAGTTAAAAGGATCAGGGTTTGAGAAGAGTTTTTTCTGGAGACCTGCTGCTATGACAGGGTAGCAGAATCGTGGGTTAGTCTGACCTGGTAAAAGGCAGTCTGTTAGGGGACCATTAACCATGCATAACTGTCTATCCAGGTGCTTAAAATCTCTACCCCCAATCTGCCCCATAGATAGCAAAGCAGAAGAGTTCTTGAGCCCCTGTGGGCTCCTGTTAGGGTCGGGTAAGAAACGTGTTCACGTATTTTGTATGCAAATGTACAAAATGCCTGCACTGAAAATGCAGCCAATCCTCTAAATACACACTTGTCTGAGTTTTGCGGCACAGCTCCAAAATGTGCACGTTAAGGAAAAGGGCCCACAAAGACGAAAAGAAATTGCATGCAAAAATGGATAGGACGGACACCTCAAAATACACATATTAGGAAAAAATATGTGCAAAATGAATGTGAATTTCTGTGCAGACTTGAAAACAGTAATCTGCAAACGAATGCAGTTATGAAGTGGTCTGGATTTAAGATTGTGGAGAAACAGATTCTGCTTGTGGTCTTCCTGTAGACTTCTGGTTGGTCCTTGTGGAAACAGAACTGCATGAGTCTTTGCCCTGACCCAGTAGGTTCTTTTCTTCTTATTTCTCCATCTCTAGTCTCCTTACATTGTTGATGGTGTTAATTTTGCCTTAGTGGGCCATGCAGAGAGTTCATTTCACCTGATCTATAATGAAAAGCAATTGCACCAACACCACCAATGCAATGTTATAGAATTCTATAACATCTCCACTGAAAGCAGCTACTTTGGCACTGGTGGGGTTCTGCCGTAGCCTTAAACTCACAACACAGGAATGTTTTTTTTTAAAAAAAAAATTGGTGTGACTTACGGGTTTATGACTGTGGCGTTAAGACGACGCATCCTTTGCACTGCAAGCCTTTTGATATCCTCTTATTGGAACAACCAGCCTTCACCCAGCCAATCACGTACACAAAAGACTTTAAGAATTACTTTTGGCAAAGATACCTCTATGATTCATTCTTTGGCAAAACTGCCTATTCTTTTCCATTTGTGATGCAGGAATCTCTTGGAGTATGAATATATGCTTTATATTTCCAATCCCCGCATGCGAAAACAACAAGGCTCTTGCACGTTGCGAAAGATTGCTAAGCCGTTACAATAATTTCAGCATGACAGCTTAATGATTTGGTATTCCACACTGTGGAATACTCTGGCTTTTCCTCGTTTTTGCTATTTGATGTGACACAGCGGGGACATGATTTTTGCCTTGCTCTTCTCCTAAGGGACACAGGCTCTCTCCATATGACTTTCTTAAAAAACGAGGCAGTGCCTCTTAAAATCAACAATAGGGATTCTGTTCCCCCAGGATGGGATGGTGGATTCCTTCACAATGGTGGAACAGGCTAACTCCATACCCTCCAACATTTCTCCGATGAAAACAGGGATAATGCATAATAATAATAATAATAATAATAATAATAATATTTATACCCCACCCATCTGACTCGGTTGCCCCAGTCACTCTGAGCAGCTTCCAATGTATATAAAAACATAAAAAACTTCCCTATACAGGGCTGTCTTCAGATGGCTCAGGAGTCGCATAACTCCATACCCTCCAATATTTCTCCGATGAAAATAGGGACATCCTAAGGAAAAGCGGGACATTCCGAATCAGGAACTAGGATGGCTTCTGTTAATCCAGGACTGCCCCTGGATAGAGGGGCCCTTGGGGGGTCTGCCTGGTCTGGGGGCAGAGCAGTTATTAATTAATGCCTCAACACTTACCTCCCTCCATCTCCAGGTTCTGGGGATGGGGAGATGATTCTGTATCCTTGCACATCATCCTATAACTAGGGTGGCCTTTCACAGAGACATAGAATCATAGAATTGGAAGGGACAGGGACCCTAAAGTTCATCTAGTCCAATCCTCATTGACCTCAGGCAGCGTGGCTATTGCTCAGGGATGAGAGGCACTTTAAAGACTTCTTTCTTCACAATGCAGACATGGTGTGTGTGTATGTTAAAGGATGTGGCGTGCCTCTGAAAAACAAAAAAAACCCCAGGTCTCTAGAAAACTAGGTGCCAGGAAGAAGGGTTTGACACACTGTGTGTGTGTGTGTGTGTGTGTGTGTGTGAAATGATTCACTCCAGTATGTGAGTTCCCCAGCCCTGAAGTCTGAACTGGGACAGTCCAAATGGAAGAAACTAAGCTTTGTGCAAAACCTGGGCTGGAATGACTCCTGTCTCCTGTGGAACGGAACACCTAAAACACAGGCCCAGCTTCCCTAACATTACAGTTTCCTGGCTGCTTGTTATGACTGCTTTATTTCAGACATGATTCTGGCCTCTTTGCATTTTCTAAACGCCTGCCAAAAAGATCCGTATACAACCTGGTGCATGTGCTAGTCAGCTAAACTAGAGATCATAATCCAACAAGATTTGGGGATGCAAGACTTGATACTTTAAAGTAGCTTTTAAAACCAAGTCAAGAAGTTGGATAGCAGTCAGTGGACTCTTGTCACTTCCATGTCATTTTCTTTCTGGGATATGATGCAATATTTTTTTGAGAGAGAGTAGATGTAAGGTAAATGGCAGGCTAAGAGCCCAAATTCTCTTTTAAATCCCTGGTCAGCCAGGAGTGTTCTAGCGGGCTTTACACAAGTCCTTTAATTCAGTTGCCTACCTGTAAAATGGGCATAACAAAACTGGCCCTTTGTATGGTGATATTATTGCCACTTTGTACATATTTCTGAAATTCTTGGCTTTCAAAATCAGTTTCTGGAGAATCAACTTGACTTAAAACTCCAGGCTTAAATTAAGCTTCTGATTTAAGGCAGGGAGATTGGACAAGCTAGATGGTGCTGTGATGTTGTTGTCTTCTGAAAACGTGTATTAACTAGCAAGTCTGTTCCAAAATCCCCATTACTGGTGCACAAAGGGTTTTCGCACATTCATAATTTTTCTAGACTCCTCATATTTAGGAAACCATTTTCTCTAATAAATAAATAAATAAAAAAGTATCAAGAGAATTGTTGAGTATTTTTAGTTGGTGTTGTAGGAGGGAACAGCCCCAGTGAAAAAAGTAAATTTTGCATGGCTCGTGCATAACAGATGATGTGTGCTGTTACTTTGATGCAATTAATCAATGGGAAATCTATGGATACACTGTGGATAGAACACAACCCAAGTCATCGTCAACCTCTTAATACTTTGTTTCAGAGCTGCAAGATGCATAAATATATATACAGAATGTGAGCAAATGCCCACATCCCTGTAATGTCCTACTTATCGTGGCAAATGTCTGTAATTGACTACAATTCACTGCTTTGGATATACATCAATGCTCCATTTTTTACATCTTTGTAACACGCCTGTTTTTTCTTTTTCTACCCCAGTCAGCGGCAAGAAGGGCAGGAACATCGTGCGCAAATTGCCAGACCACCACCACCACCCTGTGGAGGAGGAACGCCAACGGAGACCCCGTGTGCAACGCCTGTGGGCTGTATTACAAGCTCCACAATGTAAGTGAGGCGGTAACTCTCTGAAGAATACCTTTTAGGGTTTAAACTAGGATAGAATATACCGTATTTTTCGCTCTATAGGATGCACTTTTCCCCCTCCAAAAATTAAGGGGAAATATGTGTGCGTCCTATGGAGCGAATGCAGGCTCCTTGGCTTCAGCGATAGCAACGCGAAGCCTCCGAAGCGCAGAGGGAGCGCTCCCTCCGCGCTCCAGAGGCTTCGTGTTGCTTTTGCTGAAGCCTGGAGAGCGAGAAGGGTCGGTGCACACCGACCCCTCTCGCTCTCCAGGCTTCAGGCATAGCCGCCTGAAGCCTTCAAAGCGCAGCGCGAGTTCCCGCTGCACTCCGCAGGCTTTGGGTGCCTTTCGCTGAAGCCAGGAGAGCAAGACTCTCCTGGCTTCAGCAGAGAGGGAGAGCTGCGCAGTGCCCCTTCAGTGAAGCGGGAGGAGAAATGGAAGGGGCTCCGTTTATCCTGCCGCTTCACTGAAGGGGCGCTGAGGGGAGAGGGGGATAATTTTTTTCTTCTTGTTCTCCCCCTCTAAAACAAGGTGCGTCCTATGGTCTGGTGTGTCCTATAGAGCGAAAAATACGGTATTTCCTGGCTTGCGTGTGTACAGGCAAACCACAGAGCTTTATCTCACCAGCTCTTGCTTGGGGCCCCCTTTAGCTGAACACAGTGCACTTCAATGCACACTGAGGCTGTTCAGCGAACTCTAATGCACTCTGAATGAAGCTGTGCTAGTCAGGTGTAAATGGGCCCCATGGTGACTTCCTGGTATTGTAACATATAAAGGGAAGCAAGAGAAGTCAAGCTGAGAGTCCTTTTAATGGGCTGAACATTGTATGGAATGCTGGTTGGAAGACATAATAATAATAATAATAATAATAATAATAATAATAATAATAAATTACATTTTAATTCTGCCCTCTAATTTGATCAGGGATATTGAAAATGATTTGCTTCCCAACCATTTATCGTCATAACAAGCCTGTAAGGTAGGATAGGCTGAGGAAAGGTGATTGGAAAAAGGTCACCCAGGGAATTTCACACGTGAGTGGGATTTGAACCCAGGTCTTCATAGGTTCTAGTCCAGTAGTCCAACATTGAAGTATTGGCTAGATAATACATTGTTCTAACCAAAATGAAAATTGCCTGATTGGAAAGGTAGCAGATACACAGGGACCCTTTACAGGTTGCGTCTTGATTCTGGCTTGGGTTGCCATCCATTTTTCCCCTCCCAAAACTCCTGAGGCACAAAGAACTGCCAGACCAGCTGAAAATTAGCAGGCGCAGTGTATTCTCATAACCACGCTGTCTCCACAAGATGGGAAAAGGGCCCTCGTTAAATTTCTCTCTGTCGGATGGTAGCCAAAGTATTAAAGGCCCCACAGGGCGGGGGAAAGGTGGCAACCCTAATATTCTCACAAAGCTCTGGAGCATTTTTCTTGCGCCTCTGCTTCAAGGGGAAGGGGGAAATAAAGAAAGTGACACAAGCAATTCTCCAAAAGAAGGGAATCTGATTTTGTCCGGTGGGTGAAAAAGTCTGCTTTGGCTGTGTCGGGGTGCTTTTAGTACATCTGATATTCTTTTAAATCAACGTGTTTGTGGGAGCAAGAGAGGCTATTGTTTCATTTCATTTTTTGCCCTTGTTTTTATTATGTATTTTGCGTTTTTATGCTGTGAACCGCACCGATGAAGGGTTTTAAAAATACAAATCAAATCAAATAAATAAGTAAAATAATGCTCATAAAAAGAGATGGGGAAATTTATATGAAAAGGTGCATCCTGTAACAAAATCTCCCAGGGTGGAATGCTGCCAATGAGCTGTGCCCTTTACTAGCACACTCCATTCCACCCTCTTTCGTCTCTCACCTCCCCGTAGCAGCCAGTCAGTACTCCATGCCCTTTCAGCATGCTATTTTGGGAAGTTTCTGTCCCGGCCCCGGGGAGGTTTCCTCTTAGGTTTTTGCACGCATCTGCAAACCTTGGGTTTTCCCCAAGCTACTTAAAACCCCCTTCCTTGGATGCAGTTTTACTTATTCAAGGACTGGTGCTGAGAGGTGACATTATAGACATTTACAAAATGGTGCATGGGATAGAGGAAGTGAGCAGAGAAAAGGTTTCCTTCCTCTCTCATAAAACTAGAACTCTGGGACAGCCAGTGTTGGAAAATCCACGATGGATAAAAGGAAGCGCTTCATGCAGTGCACAGTTCGGCTGTGGAACTCACTGCCACTGGAAGCAGTAATGGCCATCAGCTTGGATGGCTTTAAAAAAGGATGGAGGCAGCAGTGCTTCTGAATCCCAGTTGCTGGGAACCACTGGTTGGCCACTGCAAGAACAGGATGCTGGACTTGATGGGCCATTGACGTGGTCCAGTAGTCTTTTCCTACATTCACATTCTAGAATAACTTTGCTATTTATATATCTGATAGGGTGCCCTACCTTGAAACAAAATTAAAAAATTCCTTCCAGTAGCACCGCAAAGGTAAAGGGACCCCTGACCATTAGGTCCAGTCGTGACTGACTCTGGGTTGCGACACTCATCTCGCTTTATTGGCCGAGGGAGCCGGCGTACAGCTTCTGGGTCATGTGGCCAGCATGACTAAGCCGCTTCTGGCGAACCAGAGCAGCACACAGAAACGCCATTTACCTTCCCCCCAGAGCGGTACCTATTTATCTACTTGCACTTTGACGTGCTTTCGAACTGCTAGGTTGGCAGGAGCAGGGACCGAGCAACGGGAGCTCACCCTGTCGCGGGGATTCGAACTGCCGACCTTCTGGTCGGCAAGTCCTTGGCTCTGTGGTTTAACCCACGGCGCCCCCCCCATCCCTAAGTAGTTGGTCTCTAAGTAGCACCTTAGAGACCAACTGAGTTTGTTATTGGTATGAGCTTTCCTGTGCATGCACACTTCTTCAGATACTGGAGGGAATTTTTTTATTTTGTTTTGAATTTTTTTGTTTTGTTTCAACTACGGCAGACCAACACGGCTACCTACCTGTAACTGGTGCCCTACCTTGCATTTGAAGGGCTCTCAGAGGGCATTCCTCTGTTTGAAGGGAGTCTTTTATCTGAAGGACTACCTGAAACCAAGTCTGGTTTAAAAGACCGAGAAGCATTAGAAAGGGAGGTTTTGCCCGTCAGCCACTTGGCAGCTGGGCACGCCTGCACGATTAGTGCTTCTGTTTAAGATACAGTCTTTATAATTTGCTGCCCTGGGCTGCTTTGGAAGGAAGGGTGGGATATAAATTTAATGAACAAATAACGAACTTGCAAATGTTATGCAAATTTGAACCTTTTGCTTTGGGGATGCACGCTCTCTCTCCCTTTGACAATGCATAAGTGGCACCCCCAAAATATGCTGCCTGGTAGACTTTGTTCCCATATCTAGGTGTAAAGGCAGCTACAAAAACGCACCACCCTTAAGGAAATGACTGAAAAGAATCGTCTTATAGCGACAGCAGTAATAGCAGAGCTCTAGCACTAGAGTTGACGGTTCGAATCCCCGCGACGGGGTGAGCTCCTGTTGCTTGGTCCCTGCTCCTGCCAACCTAGCAGTTCAAAAGCACAAAGTGCAAGTAGATAAATAGGTACCGCTCTGGCGGGAAGGTAAACGGCATTTCTGTGCACTGCTCTGGTTCGCCAGAAGCGGCTTAGTCATGCTGGCCACATGACCCGGAAATTATACGCCGGGTCCCTTGGCCAGTAAAGCGAGATGAGTGCCGCAAACCCAGAGTCATCTGCGACTGGACCTAATGGTCAGGGGTCCCTTTACCTTTAGCACTAGAGTAATGTGGATGGGGGCAGCGGGGTGAGATTTTTCAATTGCTTTGTACGATATCCCTTGCACTTTTTTTATTTTTTAAAAATTGATTTCTCACTTTTATGTGAGGCTTTAAAAAAGGTATTTTGCCCTCGGCAACTTTCACACAACCCCCCTTCAAAACCAGGCGGTGTTGGTTGCGGGGTGGTGCTTTTAATGCATGTATTCATTTCTGAATTTAAACCAGGTCAGCTTCCACCTTTCCCCCTCTACTTCCACCTCTCCTGGGCGAGTAAATGTTTTTGCACGAAAGAAAAATAGAGACACGCTCCCCCCCCGGCGTAATTATGTGAATCATACAGTGACTTTATTGATATTAAAATGCTGCTTTTTTCGGATCTGGAATTGAGTGACACTGGCATATTTATGCTGTGAGCTGTCCTGAGATCTATGGGTATAGGACAGTATACAAATTTAATAATAGTAATAATAATAATAATAATAATCTCCCAACATGCCAACCCAGCTCATTTCTTGGCTCTGTTGTTGCAACTTCATCTCTCCCGCAAATTTTGTCTGACCTCCCATGGCTGTGTTTCTGTTCTCATGTGAATTGGGTAGTTCTTGTCAGGAGTTCAGCCTACACTAGAGTAGGACCCTGGCAGAGACACATGCCTGATTGGCATGTTCTCTCCCTCCTGGTCGATTGTTCGGGAGCTTCAAAAGCTTTCTTCAGTTCAAACGTCACAGCGACCGATGCCAACAGACACCGGCACACTTAGGGATCCGCAGAGTTTGTGCAGTTGTGTAACAGACCTCAGCAACTCAGCATTTTGGCTAATCTACTTTATTTACATATAAACATACACGGAGCACTGCAACATGGCTCCTTCTCTCTCTAGCATCAGACAGCAAAGAGAAAAAGAACAAATAGTCCCATTTCATGGAACACAGTAACACAATCATCCTGTTTCCATCACTTCCCACTCTGTGGAGTCAAAACATATACCGTCATGTGATAGACAAAAATCCCATGACTGCAATCATGGAGCAGGAATTCTAACAGTTCTGCCTTTAAATGCAAACTGCACTGAAATCTCCCCCATACCGAAACACAACCCACCAGTTAAGGACTAAAGTTCAGGAAAAGGCCTTAATGCCAGGTCAGACTGTTGGTCTATTTAGCTTAGTATTGTCTACACTGACTGGCAGAGGCTCTCAAAGGTTTCAAAATGGGTTGAACTTGGGACCTTTTGCATTCAAGGCATATGTCCTCCTGCCAAGCTGCTCCCTTTTAGCGATTAATGAGACATTTGCTACCAGCAGAGCACATCCAGTTAAAACTGCTTTAGTCCGTGTTGAGAAAGGAAGATGTTAGTAAACCACAGGCCTACTTTTTTAAAACAACAACAACAAAGCAAACAAGCCCCAAACCACCTGCAGATCACAAGGTCTTTTGGTTAGAGGTTCAGGTTGATTTGTTGAGGAAGCTGTCCTCCCTTCCCCTGCCTTGGTACCGTAGAAAAGGGTGAGAGATCACCGCAACAAGTTTGGGGAAATATATTTTCAGGGGTTTGTCAGGGAAAGAGGATCAGCCCAGGTGATGGGAGAAAAAAGGACGAGAGTATACTAAACAGCATATTTGGGGGTTCGGTAACTGGAAAGCTTAAGAGAGAGGTGTTTTCTTTACCTTTTATTTGGTGTTTTAAAGAATGTACATTGATAATAAAAAGAACATTTTGCATAAAACGGGGGGAAATGGGAAGAAGAAAAGACGAATACAATTCTCGTTGATTCAGCAATACAGTCAAACCTCGGTTGTCGGACGTAATCTGTTCTGGAAGCCCGTTCAGCTTCCGAAACATTCGACAACCGAGGCGTGGCTTCTGATTGGTTGCAGGAATTCCCTGCACTCAAGCGGAAGCCGTGTCAGATGTTTGGCTTCTGGAAAACGCTCGGAAATTGGAGCATTTACTTCTGGGTTTTCGGCGTTCACGAACCAAAATGTTCCAAAACGGAGGCGTTTGGGAGGTGAAGTTTGACGGTAGAAAAGAAAATTACTGGTGATTGATAGATTTCCAAAACAACTTCACCCCCTTTGCAATTAAATACATTCAATCAAACAAACAAACATATGGCATAAGGGGTATATGGATTTAAACTTTTCACATTTGAGTGACTCTCGAGTCAGATTTGCAGCTTTTGGGTCCTTTTGCTTGTGTCACTGTTCGGTTTTAGATGCCAGAAGGCCAGCAGGACTTACTTCCTTACTCTTTAGATGGCAATATGTATTCCTTCACATGCTTCAAAACATGGGCCTCCAGCCTTGCTCTGTTTGAGGGTCTCTCTGCTGTCTGTGCCCAATTAGACCCAGAACTTATATCCCCCAAATCCCATCCTGACAGATAGGAATTACCGTATTTTTCGCTCTATAAGACTCACCAGACCACAAGATGCACCTAGTTTTGGGAGGAGGAAAACAAGAAAAAAAATATTCTGAATCTCAGAAGCCAGAACAGCAAGAGGGATCGCTGCGCAGTGAAAGCAGCAATCCCTCTTGCTGTTCTGGCTTCTGGGATAGCTGCGCAGCCTGCATTCACTCCATAACACACACACACACATTTCCCCTTACTTTTTAGGAGGGAAAAAGTGAGTCTTATAGAGCAAAAAATACGGTAGTTTTATTTGAAACATTTCGCCCGATGTAGCTTTTGGAGGAGGAGGAGTTGGGAGGGCAGGTGGGGAGACGAGACGGCCCCACAAAAAGATTAATTGATTTTTGTTTAGATTAACAGACCCCTGACTATGAAGAAGGAAGGCATCCAGACCCGAAACCGAAAAATGTCTAGCAAGTCGAAAAAGTGCAAAAAGGTCCACGACACCTTGGACGATTTCCCTAAGGGCGGCTCCTTCAACCCTGCCGCCCTGTCGAGACACATGTCTTCCATCAGTCACATTTCGCCCTTCAGCCACTCTGGTCACATGCTAACCACACCCACCCCGATGCACCCGCCCTCCAGCTTGTCCTTCGGACCTCACCACCCGTCCAGTATGGTCACCGCCATGGGCTAAGATCGCGCCCGAGAGAGAGACTTAAATCCCCGCTGCGATGCTTCCTTTCCTTTTTTTAAGTTCTCAGAACAAGAGGTACGTTGATAATCCTTGCCTTGTTAAGAGGCGAGAGCGCTTCCCCCTCGGCACACGAATGGACAAGGGCGCAGAAAGAAAAATGAAATCTTTAAAAGTTGGACGGAGGCGTAGAAACGAAACCCCCCCAAGCAAATGTCGTGGGGAAGTGAACTCTTGGGGGCTTTTTCTCCAGTGTCTTTTGCGTCGCCAGCCACCAAATTTGGGGTCCCATTTGTGAATAAACCATTCTGACGCAAGTCCGCTCTTGAACTGGGTTTCTAGGGTCGTGAAGAAGAGATGGCAGGCTGCCCACCCCCCAAATCCCAAACCTTTCCCCCCACTCGCTCCCCCAAAGACAAGCAGATTGATGCTGAACACTGTATAACTTATATTGTAAGAAATTCTGTACATTTTTGAAGAACACTCTTGACATCTGCTTAGCTGTAAAAAAAAAAAAAAAGGAAAGGAAAGGAAAATGGCTTGTTGGTCAAATGAAATAATGAGTTGAATGTTTTCCTGGTACGGACTGAGAAGAACGAGGTTGGACCGGCATATGGACAAACTGCCACTTGCGTTTTTTGCTCTCTCTTTCTCTCTCTCTCTCTCTCTTTCTTCACTCACTGGCTCAAGTTGTTTTGACGCATTAAAAAAACAAATTAATCCAAGTTGTAGGCAAATCATGCATTCCAGGCTACGGGGCCTCTGAACAATAGGGGATGTTTTTCGTTTTTGAAGGGTTTCAGGGCAGTTGGTGTGACATTCAGCTTGTAGCTGCGGCAAGTTTGTCCAGGCCTTATACGCATTGTGAACAAGTTCCTGTAATTGTTGTTTGTATGTATAATTCAAAGCACCAAAATAATAATAAAAAAACGAGATGTAGATTTATTTCATCCTATGATACAGACTGAATGGTTGTATAAATTTTACTTACTGCTAGTGTTAAGAACTGCGCTTTTGATTTTGTTTTCATATTTTTTTCCTCTTTTTTTTTGGAGAATAAACTAGATTAAATTCTGTTGATTTCTTGTCTGCTTATGCTTTTGGAGTGATGTTCAAAGGTTCTTTCTGTGTACGTGTGTGTCCGTGTGCCTCTGCTTCCATGGAAAGGCAGAAAAGGATTTGGTCCCGGGCCCTAGGATTCTCGGGATCCAGGATTTTAAGACCAGCAACATCAAAACAAGTTTAAAGGCTTGTAGGAATATAGGAAGCTACTGTAGACCAAGTCAGGACACCAGTCCATCCAGATCAGAATGGTCTACACTGCTGGTCTTCTACTGGTTGGGTGGGAACCCAATAGTGGGTCATGGCCTGATCCAAGGTGGGTCGCAACAGAAGCGTCACCACTATTCAAATATATGGGGAAAGAGTAAGAAACGGGTCTCCAAATTCAGGGTAGGTTAGAATGTTAGAGTTAAAAGCTGGTGGATTAGGGGAATGCTGTGGATGTAGTATATCTTACAATCATAGAGTTGGAAGGGGCAACAAGGATCGTCTAGTCCAACCCCCTGTAATGCAGGAATCTTTTGCCCAATGCAGGGATCGAATTCACGACCCTGAGCCTAGAAGTTTCATGCTCTACTGAATGAGTTTTATTTCAATAAGACTTGCGGCAAAGTTCCCCAATATATTATTTTGGAGAAGCGTGGGAAATGTGGACTGGACGAAGTAACTGTTAGGCTGATTTGTAGCTGGTTGACTGAACCCAAATAGTACTCACTAATGGTTCCTCACCGTCCTGGAAACAGTGACAAGTGGGGTGTCTGTCCTGGGCCCGTCGTTGTTCAACGTCTTTACAAACAACTTGGAAGAAGGAATTGAGGGATGCTCATCAAATATGCAGATGACGCAAAACTGGGAGGGGTGGCTAATGCTGCAGAAGAGAGAATCGAGATTCAAGATGGCTTTAAGTGGCTGCCGAGACCACATAACACCGGTCTTGAAAGACCTGCATTGGCTCCCAGTACGTTTCCGAGCACAGTTCAAAGTGTTGGTGTTGACCTTTAAAGCCCTAAACGGCCTCGGCCCAGTATACCTGAAGGAGCATTTCCACCCCCCATTGTTCAACTTGGACACTGTGATCCATCTCCGAGGACCTTCTGGTGGTTCCCTCACTGTGAGAAGTGAGGTTACAGGGAACCAGGCAGAGGGCATTCTCAGTAGTGGTGCCCGCCCTGTGGAACGCTCTCCCACCAGATGTCAAAGAGAAAAACAACTACCAGACTTTTAGAAGACATCTGAAGGCAGCCCTGTTTAGGGAAGCTTTTAATGTTTAATAGACTATTGTATTTTAATAGTTTGTTGGAAGCCGCCCAGAGTGGCTGGGGAAACCCAGCCAGATGGGTGGGATATAAATAAAATAAAATATTATTAACAGATTGGAGAACTGGGCCCAGATTAACAAAATATATTTCAATAGGGACAAAGGTAAGGTTCTGCACTTAGGCAGGAAGAACCAGCTGCACAAGTATACCTGGCTTGCCAGTAGTACATGTGGAAAGGATCTAGGGGTCTTGGTGGACTGCAAGCTTAACACGAGTCAACAGTGATGCAGCAGCAAAAAATCTAATGCTATTCTAGGCTGCATCCACAGAAGTCTAGTGTCCAGATCAAGGGAAGTAATAGTCCTGCTCTATTCTGCCTTGGACAGGCCACACCTGGAATACTGTGTCTAGTTCTGGGCATCACAATTTAAGGAGGATATTGACAAGCTGGAACAGTGGGTATGGGCGATTACTGCAAAACCACAAACCTATACCTTGCCACCATGTTTGCTCCTATAGCTTGCTAGGATGAGTCTGGCTGAACAGTACAACCCTCTCTTAACATGGTATGGCTTCCTTTAATTTTTGTTTGTTTAAAGAACCAGACCTAGAAAACACAAATAATGATTAGAAAATTATTTCCATCATCCAATGACACACTTCAATACATACCTGTGACTTTGACCATTTGCACCAAGTATCACAGAGTTAAGTATCTTTTGATCTCATTAATTCACCTGTCTGTATTTACCAGGAACACTTCGTATTTTCTGGTTTCTGTCCCTTCTTGATCCCTTCTGTGTCCCAAGAGGAGGCACTGCTGGTCTCTTCCCACCCTTGTTCCCTATGTAGATCTTCACTCTGCCCTCCTTCCCTGGCTGGGGGATGGGTGCCATTTTGTGGTTCGCTTCAGGCGCTAAAATGTCTTGGGCCAAACCTGTACTGCACAAAAGGAGAGCCACCACCAAGAAGGCCCTGTGCAGAATTCATCTTACGAAGAATGGCAGTTTTTATTAATGCCTCCTCCCCAGCCAAAAACTAATCAGGCTTCTGGTCCTTATGGCTGCTAGTATATACACGAGAGAGTATGTGGGAAAAGCTGGCTGAAATCTTTAAAGTCAGAAAGACTGCCGAATAAAATTCCCAGTGGTTGGAGGTGAGACTTTCATTACTAGTAAAACCAGAATCAGTGATGCAAAACTGAGACCACAAAAGTGGCGGTGGGGAAAATGTACAATAAACAATGCAAAATAAGGTAAATTATGCTGACTTTCCTAGTTCGCACAATAGTTTATTTGTTTATCTCAACAGTTTGAACAGTACTCAGTTGCCATTATCTCTCTGTATAATTTTATTAAATTTTCTGTTTTACAATTTAAAACACTCATTTTACATCCTTAAGATACCAGTGACTTCCCTTCTTCTCTTTCCATGGTTCATTTTACTTGTCATAAAACCCTGCATATTTTACAAAAAATGATACCATTCAGTATTCCATTACTACATCCAGTTGCCATTGTCTCTAAGTAGTGTACAAGTAAAACACAACAGAATAAAGATTAAAGATCAGATTATTGTTATATTTTCATCAGAATATTTTCTATATCTGAACACGCACACAAGCCTTTTTTCTGAATAATTTGGCTTTGCTTGGGCATGGTGCTTTTTTGTTTTAAAGCCCAGATTATGTATAGAATTATAGAACGGTAGAGTTGGAAGGGATGCAAGACTGTCTTGTCCAACTTCCTCCAATGCAGGAATCTTCTTCTTCTTCTTTGGCGATCACTCGTAGCTGAGTAAGATTGTCTTCCATAAACACAGTTTTAACAATGAGTCTGTAAGTGATTGTGGAGGCCAATTCTGGATCCACACGTCCTTTCACAGTGGGGACATTGGTTTCCCGGTGGGAGTTGATCACGGTGTGGATTTGCCAAGCGTGCCTTCCTCTTAGCACGTTTCTCCCTTGTGTCCTGAGTTCGAGTGTCTTCAAAGCCCATGACACCTTTGGTAAAGGCTGTTCTCCAACTGGAGCGCTCGCAGGCCAGTGTTTCCCAGTTGTCAGTGTTTATACTACATTTTTTTAGATTTGCCTTGAGACAGTCTTTAAACCTCTTTTGTTGACCACCAGCATTACGCTTTCCATTTTTAAGTTCGGAATAGAGTAGTTTTACAAATGCAGGAATCACAGCTAATGTCCCCCTAAGAGGTACACATAAGACCAGGGTACCAGCCCTCTGCCCCACCTGCAAATGTTGTATTTGCTGGAGCAGGGTGTACAGTTCTCCAACCACTTGGGTTTAACCGTTTCAGTGCTGGCAAATAGTGACTCCCCCTCCCACAATTGCCGGCTTGGCGACATCACCTGGGTTTGATGGTCTGGCGAATGCGCAACATTCCACACACAGCTGCACTGAAGCACGAGAAAGGATTAACCGTGTCACTCTTGCCAGGATCAATGCTCTGCCACCCTCTCTTGTCAGCAGCGAAAAGCATGATGGAATGGGAACGCTCACAAGCCCTTCCACTGAATTGTCCAAAACGTGCTGTCTTTCCTCCTAGTAGGTTGACCGACAAAGAACCTGTCAACCCATTCTGGGTGATCAATAAAAGCTGCTCTGTGCCTCTGTTGCTCTGAAGACAGACTTTCCTAGAAGGAGACAAGATCGTGGAATGCAATCTTCTCTTTCTCCAGAACAAAGCTTTGGGATTTGGGAACAAAGCTTTGGTGAGCTCCAGATGTTCTGGAGGTGGGGCTGATGGGAGCTCAGAACATCTGGAGGGTACCAAATGGCAGAAAATTTGAATTTAAGAAGATGCTTAAAGTAGTTATTCCCAAGACACCTGCAGCATTTCTTCTGGGAGTTATAAGGGCAGAGGTTTGAAAGGTTGTTTATATATGCCAGTACTGCAGCTAGAATCCTGTATGCACAGAAGTGGAAAGAATAAGAAGTCCCAATTTTAAAGTTAATGGACTATGCAGACATGGCGAAGTTGACAGCAAAACAAGAGATCTAAAGGATGAGAACTTTGTCAACGAGAGGAGGTTCTTTTTGGACTATTGAAGAAAAACCTATAGTCAAATGAAATCGTGAGCAGGAGAATTGCAAGCAAGGGAAGGAGATTAAATAAATGATTGTCATATAGGTGAGAATACAATAGAAAATGCATGGCAGTTGTGGCAGCAGATAAAGGAATACAACAGGAGCATCACAGATGTAAGGATGGGAAGTAAAAATGCTGTTGTTGTTGTTGTTTAGTCATTTAGTCGTGTCCGGCTCTTCGTGACCCCATGGACCAGAGCACGCCAGGCACTCCTGTCTTCCACTGCCTCCCGCAGTTTGGTCAAACTCATGCTGGTAGCTTTGAGAACACTGTCCAACCATCTCGTCCTCTGTCGTCCCCTTCTCCTTGTGCCCTCCATCTTTCCCAATATCAGGGTCTTTTCCAGGGAGTCTTCTCTTCTCATGAGGTGGCCAAATATTGGAGCCTCAGCTTCAGGATGTGTCCTTCTAGTGAGCACTCAGGGCTGATTTCCTTCAGAATGGATCGGTTTGATCTTCTTGCAGTTCATGGGACTCTCAAGAGTCTCCTCCAGCACCATAATTCAAAAGCACACACACACACACACACACACACACACACAAATTGCAGAAAGAATGCTAAACAACAGTGACTGGCCAGGTTGCCCCAA